CTCTCTCTCTCTCTCTCTCTCTCTCTCTCTCTCTCTCTCTCTCTCTCTCTCCCCCCTCTCCCTCTCTCTATTTATCTCTCTCTCTCCCTCTCCCTCTCTCTCTATTTATCTCTCTCTCTCTCTCTCTCTCTCTAGATTAGACGTTTCAGTATTATAAATGAAGACTCAATGAGCCATTTTGCATATAAACTTCGGTTGGCCGAGATTTAACTGATGGAACTCTATATCTAAAAGCTGTTGAAACAAGAGAAGAGTGTTCAGTGAAATCTCAGTTGACTCTGGCGAGAGATTCAAAGCCGAACTTGCGACTCGCAATTGCATGACGAAATCTCACGTTTCAAGTGACCTCCATGGGTTGTCGACTCGCTCCGTTCTCGCTCTAAAATCTCCTAACGTTTATGAAAACTGGTCCATAGATAGAGAAGATAAATTGGTCAATTTACTCGGGTGATTCAAGTCGGTGCAACTGGACTCGCCGTTCTCTTAAGACAACGTGACCAATTCGAGTCGGGAGACCCGACAAGACGTTCTCGACAAGCCTGTCGGCGATTTCTTTTCCGGCGGCCAAAGATGTGCGTTAGAAGGAATATTGCTCAATATTTACCAAGTCGCGCAGCAGCTCCGCTACATTTTGCAATTAACGCCGCGCGTTCCGTGTCGGATTGTTTGACGAGCGCGATTATTAGCTGATTATCACCTCGCGCTGCTACTCACAGCTCGTAACGGGACGACGTTCGGTCGAATCGTCGCGCTTCATCGGTTTTTTCATTGTCGCAGGCGAGAAATCGAGGACTTTCGATCGAGGTGGCGGATGGCGGCCTTCACTCCACTCCGTTCGCATTGTTAGGACAACCAGCCCGCCTTGACGCGCCTTAAAGGGCTCACCACGAAACTTGACGAACTTTCGCACTTCACCAGTCACTCAAGAAACCGGGAAAAAGGCGGCGAGTGGCGGGCATATCACCCACACACGGTCGCACACAGCGACACCGTTGGTACAGTTTTAACGATATTCGATATTCGCCCTTTAGGCGAGAACCGACATCGGCATAAACTCGCGTAGTGGATCGCATCCTCATCCGCCACTTCTTGATTGTTCTCCGAGCAGGATCGCCGATTCGCACTATTTTACCGCAGCTTACTGCACAAAGAACGAGTTCGTCGCGCTTCCCCGACTACGTGGATGTCTAGGCTCTCAATTCTCTGAGATGTCTGAGTCGTCGAAAGTGACACGCCGCGGACTTATTTTCGATAGCCCTTCGGGCTCTTTGCGGGTTATTTAGGGTATCAGCGCTAGATGCGATCGCATACCTTGCTTCGAAGGGCCTAACAGCTGACACACTCACGTATGCGCGTATTTATTTTGTACGCTTTACTCTTTCGTTAGCCCGGTTTGACGAGGCTTTCGTATTAACCCTCGGATGCGTTCGCGGATTTTACTCCGACCTGGCGAATGGCGAACTTTCCAGTGGAAGGAGCCGCGAGAAGTCATGAGACGAGCGTAGTATATTTTCCACGTGAAAAACTGCGTATTGCCAATTATTAAACGAAGAGTTTGGGAATCAAACTCTTTTAAGTCTTAATAATGAACGAACTAACGCGAGGAACAGAAAGATGAGATTCGATCTTCTGTATATTTATACATGTAATTCGCTGAGTATAAAAGTTCCTTCTGTTACGCCAATAATTAGATTATCGAAGATTACTGGTAGATTAATTAAAAATCAATTACGTACACCAGTGCTCAGAATTGCTTGCATTTTCGAAGCGATTTTCGAGGTCCACAACTACTTTCTTTCTCTTGTCTCTCCCGCTCATACCGTCGAACCACGCAACTGATGATCAGCCTCAAGATCGACAACTTCAAAAAACCTGTAGAGCTCTTCCTAATTTCTTCTTGAAACTGGTCCTGTATGCGTGTTATTTCTATACAATATTCTATACCCATCTGCGCTACCAATACATCTATATTATTACAATGATAGAACTCTAGTTTCAAGAACTTTTCAGAAATTAGGAAGAATCCCAAAGATTTTGTGAAGTTGAAGCTGAACTGTCCTGAGATTGAACACGCCGCTGCAATTAATTGCTCAACAGATGAGGGGAAAAGGGATGAGAGTAGCCGTAGCTCTCGACAATCGTTTCGAAAACGCAAGAAATTCCTCGAGCATTGACGTATATATTAGGATCGTTGTTGACTGTTAGGCAAAATTTCTGTACAAAATTGCGCATTGACGATCGTATCGATGTGATGTATGCATGTCGTATTATTTCTCGATACCGAGAATGCGAAAGAGAATTCTAATTGGTGTATGTGATCACGCGAAATTCGTAGGCCTCCAAGAAGGATTTTAAAACATTGTAGTTCGCGATCAAGCGCACCTACATTTGATGATTTGTTAGTGATAATATTAACGGTAAAAGCGGCGTCAGTTATATCTCTGCGACCACGGTCGATTGATATTCATTTCGCGGTTAAGGAAAGAGAGGGAAGCGTGTGATTAAATGATCGTTACTCACGTGGTAGCGCGAAGTAACGCGGCATCCGGGGGTTAAACATGCAGCGAGAGACGCATACCTTATTTATTTTCCACTGTCTCAATCCGGAGCACGTCTATAAGGAAATAATAATTACTACAGTAAGAGTACTAAGGATATAAGGCGAATGGTAATGATGATGGTAATGATGTTGATGATGATAACGATAACGAATTACGTTGATAACAATTACGATTGCGAGTGCTTATCAAATATTAACGATAACGACGCAAGATCCCTGTGGCAAAAGTAAAAAAAAAAGAAAGAAGGAAAGAAGGACTCCTCCCATTTTGTTTATCTCACATGTCTCGAATTTGTATATTGTTCCATTGATCGTAGGTACTTACGCTGTCGCCAATCGACATTATTGCATTTGTATAAAGCTATTTTGAATCGTGCATTTTCGTTCGCGGCGATACTCGAGCATCGGTAGAGCTGTTATTTATTACCGAATATGTTTGATCGCTAAATATAATCTCATCCCACCTTCTCTACCTGCTCCCGCAGACCCTCTTAATAATCGTAAACGTCACGAAGCGTCTCGGACTGGCGCGCGCTGCCGATCCGCGCGAAATCGGCGCGGGCCGTCCGAACGGATTTGCGTTCTTCTACGTTCTCCGTATTACGCGAATTAGCGAATCATTAGTGTAATGTTTTCTGACGATCCTGTACGCCAAATCGAATTGACTTGTTACATTTGTAAATGTTTGTAAGTACTACCACGTAATAAAATAATCGAGTAATAATCATCGAATTACCCTGACGACCGTGTGTCTGTTATCCATCGATAAATTCGACCTTACGAACAACGAATAAAGCAAATCATAACATACCGCAGCACAGTCTCACTCTTATTCCGTGGGGAATATCCTAGAAGGGAGCGTGATAAACTCGCATTCTCGGGGGAATCAAATTTTGCCTCAGCGAAGATTAAAACTAACGCGCCGGTCACATGACGCATCTCAATAAACATCGGCTGTGTTCCGATATTCACTGCCAGTATTGAAAATATACAGTTTATGTCACGTATACTGTAGATTCGATACCGCCAAGGAATTTCGGAACGTAGCTATCGTCGCGTGGAAAAAAAATTAGCCGCAGGAGTTGGAGCTTGTCTGCGATACACGAAATAAGCTTGGCGCGAGTGAGAAAGAGAGAGAGAGATGTAAAAATTATTTATTTCGCTTAACCTCACGTTACAAAACGTTCACGTTACCCTACGTTTACAATACGTTCGTTTATTAGCTCTATACTCTAAGAGAAATAAATTATTTTTATTTCTCACTCCAACTTAGGATCAAACTTACGGCGCGTACTGTAAACAAATTTTAAAATATAGCTGCGACAGTTAAATACATACACAATGACAGTTGTGTCATTGTGTGTGTGTGAAATATGGACAGCTAATGCTGTTGCTAAATCGAAACTAGATTTATTAGCTAAATTTGTTGACCTGGTCTTAGAGTTTGGATATGTATAGTTAGGGCAACAGAGAAGCATGGTCGTCAATTATACATATAGCTCGCCATAGTTATACAAGAATAATTCAACTCACATGAAATACACTTTGAGAAAAATGAATATGAAAATTTGATACATGATTTATAAAAATAGCATTGATAGCACTGAGGTTCATCAGTATTCTTTAAAAATAGCACATGAAGCTCTTCACAATCGCTCAAAAAATCAAGCATGGTCAATTTTCTTCTCCTTAGAGGTATTTATTAACAAGCTTAATCTTTAAAAAATGGATAAAAGAGATATAAGTAAGAAATAGAATTAGTAGAAAATAAAAAGTTTTTTAATTAATTTTAGATGCTTTTAAAGCTTGGATCTCTTCTATTTTATGTGGAAAAACATAGACTGCCCATTGATAACAAAAATTTCAAAATCATAATCTTATGGATCATTCCTATATAACTATAGCCAATTATGGTCAATTATGCGATAAAGATTGTGCTAGGTTTATTAACTTATATTTACATCTCGCTGGTTTCCATAGGAATACCATGTGCTCTTTTAATGCCTTCCTCCACGATCTGCTGCTCCCGTTGTAATTCTTTGTACGAATGCAAGAGCTTTTCTATCTTCGTTCCATTGAACGAATTCAGACGAGCGTAATGCAATATGAATTGCACGTCATCCTCCGGGTCGCTACACTGCTCGACCGCTGAATTGCTTGTAGGATGAATTCTGTGATACAGGCGTATCAGTAACACGGCGTTTTCAATTCGATGAGTTTCAATCAACTCGCATAACAAATTCTCAATGTTACTCGTCCATACTAGGTAAAACACCATTGGGCCAAAGTGACGCGTAGACCTCAAGACATCAAAATGTTTTTCCAGGTTCACACGCTCATAAACTTCTCGCACTATTGCTTGATAATCTGGGTCATCCGGCTCGAATTGCGTGCACGTGCGATCAAGTATAAATTCGTACTCCTTGCGATCCAATATACTCTGCAAAGGAGAAATCAATTGGTGAACAGCAATGTTAATATTTACAGGAGATAGACTACAAATAATGTGGACCGAATATCATGTTTTTATGGATATTTTTTTGTTGGCTACACTGACAAAACGAAAATTGCGATTCCCTTTTGTTATGTCACAGATATAATTTTTAGAATAAAATTTGAATTTCTTTTATTTAAAACACACGATATACGCGACATTACAGATTTGTTCTTTTTAGCTGAACTATCTTAACTGGTGCAATAAGTTAGAATGAGACAAATATATTTTTACTCCAACTTATCACACCAGTTCAGGCAATTTAACTCAAAAAAACAGACCTCACATATGCAACCGTGATTCAACTAAAAGATTTACATCTAACCTTAAATTCTGAATATCTCACAAGAATTGTCAAACATTAATAAGAATTGTGCCTAAACAGTATAGAACTACTACAGCAAAAATGACAGCAGAACTCAATATCCACCTCGAAAAGCCATTTCTAGAAAAGAGCTGTTTCTACAAAAACATTTAATCTTTGAAAGCTTCACAAAACTAACTTAATAATGCTGTTTAACATTATATTTTCCAGGTGTTTACATTATCTTGCCCACCCCTGTATTATCCATTATGTATTCTTTCTTGATTAAAGCTATCTTTTTACATAAGTATCAACAAACACGATATCAATGAGTGAAATTTTTAAAGCAAAAACTAGTTACTTGTAAATGTTCGTTTTCAAACATCCTTGGCTTTTGTAATTCCTTTCCTGGTTTTGGAAAGTAGATTGGTACAATTCTATCGCGTTCTTGCCAAGTGGCATGTCTCAATGTGCCATTAGGTTCTCGGATCACCACAAATCTTTCTCTGTCTCTGAGACCATATGTGATATCAGTGAACACGAATTTAGCAGTATTGTAATCTTGTAGTCCAGGATCTTGACACAACAATGTAAGTTCATCTGATCTTTGTTTTACCACTGGTGGCATTTGCAAGTAGACTTCTGCTCTCTTCTGTGCTACTCTTATAGCTTGCTCAAGTTGCTCATCTGTCATAAATTTATATTTTGGTGACACCATTTTATGTCCATCTTTACGTGTTCGTAAAACTTTCTTGTAATCTACTGTTGTCAATGTTCTCAACCATGCCTGAACTTCTTTATCAAAGAAGAATGGTGCTGGATCTCTTTCAGTTGGATCTTTAAAAATTAGATATTTTGGGTATTTTTAAATAATAAATAAAGAAATATATATATATTTTTTTTTAATGATATATTTTACAGAGAGACACATGTAACACAGAACACTAAAATAAAGAAACATAATATATAAAATAAGGTAATAATTCTTATTATTTTTATAGTTCTTCTTACTTTCTCATAACTTACATAAAGCTAACCTACATATTTAATCCAATTCCATAAATTGTTCGATATAATTATAAAATGATGAGAATACCTGTCTCAATATTTGCCGAAGCGCAATTGCGACAGTTTAAGATCATGCGAGAACATGAATATCGCAAAAGTTTATTTACATTTCGTGAAAGCATAATGCTGAATTTGATAAGTCGTAGATGATAAAATTACGCGACCACGAGAAACTTAACCTAACTTAATTTTATCATTTCGTTCTTCGACACTAGAGGGCTTCGAGTAGGAGAGAAATGGCTGCGTTCAGCAGAGAAGCTGCTTTGCAACTGTAAAATTCATGAATCTGATTGGAGTATGCTCTTAATTTTGGTTAAATCCAAGAGCATGTACCAATCAGATTCACTTTGTACTGGCAGTGAATTTCGGAACACAGCCTTGGTAAGCTATCTAACAGTCAAATTATGTGTCTATCTTTATCCAATTTGAAAAAAAAATGAAGGCAGATATATGATTTAACTTCAAATTAACTTCTAACTTGGTCAGCTCACTAACCTCTTGTCCACAACCTTGCTTTAATCTTTAAGACGTAAGATATTGACTAATCACATTTGGTTATTTTTAAAATAATCGACTGTGGTTGGTCAATTTCTTATAGCTTAGGCTTAAGGCCTGTTCTACAATACGTCGTATGTCGCTGTCGTATATCGGAGTGCAGCCGATGGGCCAATCAGAGGATTTGTTTTTCGAGACGAGTTCTCCTTATTGGACTATCGACTGCATTCTGACGTCCGACAGCGACATACGACGTATTATAGAACCGGCCTAAAAGTGCTTTCCAGCTACGTACACTGTTACAAAACCAGTTTATTGGTTATATATTATCTTACAAGATATTTTAGATAATACGTGATCAATAAACTGGTTTTGTATAACACAGTGTAACGTAACTGGAAAGTACCCTAAGTTAGAAAAGGGTGCTTTCCAGTTGCGTACATTGTGTTACACAAAACCAGCTTATTGGTTGCATATTATCTTACAAGATATTTTAGATAATATGTAACCAATAAACTGGTTTTGTATACGTGTGTGTCAAGATGGTAAGCAATTGGAAAGCACTCAAAATCGGCCCTAAGCACAGATTTCTATATACTACTAGACTGCTAACTCCCTATCATATGTGTAATACTTGGTCTGTTCTTTTCAGCTGCATTGCTGAACTGGTGCAATAAGTTAAAGTGAGATAAGTATATTTTTTCTCACTCTAACTTATTGCACAGTTCAGCAGAACAGCCGAAAAGAACAGACTAACTGTTATTACGAAAAGCAGCATACTGGGTGCATTCAGTACTACAAGCTTTCACTGAGCGCTCAGTGAGTTCTTACATTTGATTGATATATATTTTGAGATCTAAAAGAATATGCCAATAGGATGTAAGAGTTCACCGAGCGCTCAATGAGCGATTGTAGTACTGAATGGGCCCATTTGCTGCGTTCAGAAAACATAGCTGATCAATGAACAGTCAGTGATTATTGGTCCTTACTGTTAGATCCCTAACTTTAGGTCAATTACGTTGACTAATTACTCAACCGTTGTGCAACAGTTGTGTCTTTTGAACGCATCCATTGGGCGCATTCAGCGGAAAAAGCGCTCAGTGATCAATCAGCGATTATTGGTTCTTACTGTTAGATCCCTAAATCTAGACCAATTACCTCGACGAATTACTCAATTGTTGTGCAACTGCTGAGTTCGCTGAACGCACCCATTGGCTGCGTTCAGAAAATATAGCTGATCAGTGAGGGGTCAGTGATTATTGGTCCTTACTGTTAGATCTCTAACTTTAGACCAATTATATTGACGAATTGCTCAACTGTTGTGCAACTGTTGAGTTCGCTGAACGCACCCATTGATTCGCTGTCACACAAACTTCCGCCACGCGGCAAGCGTCGCCGCGTCCTGTAGGCGGGAACGGTAGGAGTCATATAACCTTTTGAAGAATATAAGAAGATACATTTAACCATTCTAGAATATACACACAAGCCAGAAGAGAATAGGTCAAATATATAAACAGGTATTTAATAATTTAGATTATTCTATATATATGGAATATATATTCTGTTAATACTATGGGATTAAGAGGTAAATTAAACTTTGTTTTAAAACTAATTTTCACTAATAATGCTTCAACTCTTATTCCTAATATTGATCTAGCACAGTAACTTTCTCAACATGTTTTTTTAGAATATTTAAAAACAAACATGGAACTTAATGAGAATATGGTATATACATTACACGATGCATTTGATACATTTGTGGAGAAAATTAATGAGTGTGAGAGAAATATAGATGATTTGACAAATAGAGTATCAAACAATAGAATCAATGCTGTACAAGCAACAAGCTCCACAGAAAATTTAAGAACAAGAGAAGAGAGGCTATTACAAAAATATCTAAGAGAAGTTATGAATTTACAACCTCAAGATTATGCAATTCCAAGAACAGTTGAATTACATGCTGAAGTTTTTAGAGATTTAGAAGATGAAATTAAAAATATGCAGTTAATACTTAACAAACTTGATAAAACACTTCTTGATATTCAAGCAGATATGAAATAGTGAGTATAACATAAAATATAAAATAAAAACATAAAATGAATTTAGACCAGAGCCAACACATGTAGAGATGCGTAAATTTAACGTAGTTAATAGTAGAGAAAATTAGCACATATTCACATAAACTTTTAAGAATTTTAGTTTTTCTGACTGGAAATAAATCAATTTTAAGTTTATATAATTTAAATAGCACTAAGCCATATATTCTGATCAAACATATTGTAATTTTCATAAAAATCAATTAATTTTAAACAATGGAAAATTATGATTTCAGGCATTAACAGCTTACATGGAAGGAGTGAGTTAATATAAATGTGATACTGAAAGTTTTAGACTGCAAACTTACTAATGACCATGCATTTCTATCTCACTTTTGGATCATCTTTAGCATTGTAATTTTGACAAATAAATTCTTTTAACATAAGTATAATTTAACAGTGTTTTAACATACCATTGGTCACAAAAATCACAGACAATATAGCTAATATTGTCATCATTTATTTATCAAGTTATCAACGTTCTTCATATTACATTTACTATGGTTGGAACATAATAGTTAAACTATTGCATTTCTAATTTACGTAAATAATTTACGTAAAGTTTGTAAGTGATAGTATTTTTAGAGATATAGTAAAAACCTGAGATAATGTTGGCTCATACTTGCCTAAATTCATTTTATATTGTCATTAAAGAATCTTTTTGACTAATGTAAGAACTTTGTCACAATCCACGCTTATCACATTATTTACGTTTAATTAAATACATTATTACAATATTTATTATAGTTTACAAAATAAGAAAAATGGACTAGATAAAATGCGAGAAGCTCATGTAGGTTTTACAGAAACATTTGCAAATAGGACATATAAAGATGAACAAATTTTAACAAAACGTATATTTCAAAACGTAAAAGATGATTTGGTGAGTATAACCAAAATATATTGACACTTTGTATATAATTTATTTTTATTACATGTACAAAGTTGCGTAGTTTTTACGAAAAGAAACAATATATAAATTCAAAGATTCAAACCTTTTATTTAAATATTTTTCAGTATACTGTCGTTGATACAATTTTTCCTGACAATAGTGAATTTAAGGAATTTCTAGCGGTAAGTCATACTCTCATTAAACATATATAATTTTCATACAATTATACTTGATTATACAATCGTGAATGCAATTTTATAATTAAATGACTAATTATATAATTATATTAAACAAATGTGGAAAATTGTTTTCAGGCGTTAACATCAGCTTACATGAAAGGCGGTGATGATGTTTATGTAAATGTCACACCAAAGATTTTAGATTGTGTAAACTTTCTGCTGGAAGCTGATATAATACAATATCACCGTAATGACAAGACTAAAGTCAGAATGATCGAGTTGTTATGATATCAAATGAGTATTCAATTATTAATTTATTGCAATCATTGGAAAGTCAAAACTGTAAGGCAAATATAACCATAATCATTACTATAACTGCTATATTACATAGCAGATATCTTTCTACCATAGAAAAGGAGTTCTTTCTCTTAATATCCTGACTCCGCAGCGTTGCCACTCCCCCCGAGGAATCCACAATTCCTGTGCTGTCTCCAGACAACTTAGAATGCCTGCACCTTTCCAGGTCGTTATGCCAGGATCCATTTCCTTCGGTTCCGTTATAATATCCAATTGTTCTGATAAAAACAAAATGAATGCGATTTGATTTTGCTATTTCTCTTCGAGTCATAAAATCTGGCGTCAAAATTCAGCAGAATTAGTGACTGCTAGCAAGTCTTGTAGAAAATACATACCACCTCTGTACATATACGGTGTTTGCAGTGATATTCGATTGCGAAGCCACATCCCAATGCCTCTAAACTTCATTCCCGAACCAACAACTAGCACACAACTGTACATTTTTCTCTTTAGATCGTCGGTAGCTGTTGCGAAGATAAAATCAATTAGTGCTTCCAGTGAATTCTGGGTCTCTATATATATTTTTCATACTTACGGCATCGCTCAATGCTCTGCAATATTATGTGATCAAGGCCCAACATGTATTGTGGACCTACCACGAAATCGCGGGAACCCTCCAAATCTCGATTTGACAAAGCGGGCGTAGAATCATTGACCATATCAACTACAACTTCCTCCTCGACTGCAGCTGTGGGTGCAGCTGTCTCTTCTTGCATCTCTGACGTTTGCTCGAGAGTTTCTTTTATTCCTCGTCTCTGAAACGAAAATTAATTGAATCGCATCCAAGCGAAATTAAAACGGAAACGCGTTCGAATCTAAAAAAATGCGTGAGCTTCTTTTCCCGGATTTCAGAGTCTTCACGAATTTCTAAGATAAGTTCAGGCGAAGTTTGAATGAATACTCACACTAGTTTCCCTTAAGTAATTTTCGTCGAAAAGGTCTTCCGGATCGCCTGTTGATCGTTTCTGAACGTATGCGTTGTGTGTTCCAGTAATCCTGAATAATTCAGGTTGAAATAAACTTAAAGGAGCTATTAAGCATTCATCGCCCACCTGTTACAATATGTCCAATCACGATTTTACAAGGAGTAATTTCAATTTTTGCGAGAAGTTGATCAAAATACGATATATATAGTATACCTGCAATGTATATTTCTCAATTTTCTGCTTTGGTTTCTCAACGACGAACATTTTCTCGTGCGAGCCACAAATATTTAAATCTACGTGACAAACATCTTCCTTCAGTTGGTTTAAGAGAATAGCATCTGATCTGGTGGCAGGATCGCAAGATTTATATGGAAATGCGCTCTTTTGCAAAAGCCAGAAAAAGGCCTGCGTAATGTCTCCGCCGCCGAAGTCCATACGCACTCGCGTGTCCTTATGAGAAATCGCATCGTCCACGCACGACACTGAAGTTTTCTGAGCGCCGACGTCTACTACGCACGCATAACTCAGACCTGCTCCGAATATCGCAGCAACATGATCCTATCGAGTAACAAAGCAATACTATTAGCCTGGGAGAAATTCCAAATGATGTGGTTGATTGATGAGTCGTGCTAACAATTCTCACAAGAACTATGCGACATACAACGAGTACAAACTAACTTGTAGCAAAAAACAGCTGCCAAAACCCATCTCGCACAGCATCAAAGACGTTAGCTCCTTCAAATAAGGTCTGTGATAAATGTCAGGTATAACGAGCACTGCGCGATAGTGCTTCAAATCTTTCAGTGGAATATTTAATTTTTCAGTCAGCACATATTCCCAAATTGTCTTTAAATCTGCCATAACAGCCCTTACGCTGCCGCCTGGACCTGAGTGAACATTCAGTTCACCCCTTTTGTATGGGAAGTGAATATTGAAGTCTTCTTCTGGATCTAGTGAAAGAATGTCATCTCCAACGATTACGTCGCGTTCAACTTTTACCCAGCTACTGCTATTCAAGGAATTGACTACTGGGCTGGATCTGCGATTGTAGGGTGCTAACTGCTGTGGCGGAGTCGCATATCGCCGAGTCCCGTCTGATTGCAGGCAAGATTGTAAAGTATGTGAGATCTGTAGCCGAGATTCTTCCATTCCGTGCATTAGCTCCTTATTCTAGTCAATGCAATTATAAGTAAAATGTATTTTTTAAAGAAGATATGTTTTAAAGAACTTTATAAACTCCATCATACATACCATATTATATCTGTATAAAACTTGTACCCAGACAGCACACAATATATTTACAAAATATTTTAGAAATATAGATATTAAATATTTTATAAATATTCAAATGTCTGAGATTTTCACACACACATAGATATAAAAAAGATTATAATAAATATTTAAAATTATTCATGAAAAACATTTTTCATAAATACTTTAATGAAAAAGATTATGATTTATGAAAGATTTATGATAGATATTTTTCATAAATATTTTTAAATATCCTGAGTATGAAGTGTGTACTTACTAATGGTACAACTGGTGGCAAGAAGCTATCCCTGTATTTTATTCCACCTGGTAAACGTCTCCTTGCTACAGCATTCAATAATGTACATGGCTTTAGATCTGAAGCACGACCCATACGAAGATACATAGATCCAGGATGAATTACAATAATCGTTTGCGTCTCGATTTCCTACATAAAATAATTGTAATTATAGACATAAGTTAACTGACAAAATAATAAAGAAGAAAAGCTCCTAGTAAATTGTACCACACAGTCTACCACAATATTACAGTCAGTTTTTCATATTCTCTATATATTATAATAGTACATAAAATAATAGTAAATATTAAATAATAGTAAATATTAATTATAAATATAATAATAGTAGTATATATTATTATAAAATAATAATTACATCTGCGCATTCTTGGAAGACTGGCATTTTTGTTGGCTAAATTTAGTCCTGTAAATATTGGAGTCAATTTCCAATAGTGTTTCTACTCTTTCTCTTATAGATATCTGTCCTTTTCAAGATACAATATTACCGTTGTCGTTTTGTCTTTTTCTTTTTTTAATTAGTTTTCTGTACTTATTCCAGTTTTTAGTTTCCGGAGAAACTTTCAGAAATTGTCAATGATCTCACATCGTCGTCCACATATTTACGATGTTGTCTGTACAAAAGAAAGGTTATGTTCTCTATTGTTTACACTTGAAGGTGTGAATAATTAACAATAAACATGAAAGATCATTAAGATAAAAATATATATTCGAATTTTCAATTAACCGTACTACAACAGAGTAAGTTTGTCCCTTTGTCCGTCCTTAAATTGTAACATTGAAAAATAGTGGATCCTTGATACACCGTTCTATATTTGCTCTTTATCCTCACGTTGCAATTATACGAAATTCAAGAGACTATAATTTTCGCAAGAATAACAATAATAAAGTTATTTACGGGAAGCATTTTATAGCTTGTAATTTTGAAATTCCAATAATTGTTGTTGGATATAAATTTTAATAATTTCTTATTACACACGAATATCAGAATTCGTCAAATGTGAATATAATTTTATGAAGTTTGTCAAATTATATGGCATAAACGAAAAATGATATACAAACTGTGTTTACATTATTTAAAAATACACACATTCCTCTTTATTTGACATGCAAAATAAGGCAAATAATGCAATTTTTAAACTAAGTTTTCAATGTTAAAACATGTTTTCAAGTATTCAATGTTGAAATAAGAAATGTTCTTTCGACATAAAATTCTTCTTAATCTGCCTTTAAATTGTATTACCCAAAAGTGATTGTCTTTTCCTTTGTGTCTTTAACCCTTAATTAAAAATGAAACATTCTTTTATAAAATGCTATTAAATTAAAAACTCAAAGATGATACTTCTAACTCATCAATGGGTGCGTTCAGCGAACTCAACAGTTGCACAACAGTTGAGTAATTCGTCAATGTAATTGGTTTAGATTTAGGAATCTAACAGTAAGAACCAATAATCGCTGATTGCTCACTGAGCGCTTTTTCCGCTGAACGCGCCCATTGAATTGTATTACAACCTCGATTTACATTAAAGATTATAGCGTCTCATAGCGGAGATTTCGGAACTACACTAACTAGAATAACAGCTGCTTCGTTAGACCTGTCAGAAGAAAATTAATGGTATACATGCCATCTAGCGGTGTCGATAAGAAGTCAGTAGTTACCAACAGATTTGGGTCTTGACTATGTTGGTTTGAATCTTAGCTAAATAAGTGCTATTATTAGTTCTAAAATTTCCGCTACGAGCCGCCACTGTCGAATAAAGCAATGCAGAATAATCTCTGAATCATTCGATGAAAAAATCATGCTAAAAATGTGCAAACCCTAATGAAAAAATTTTGCTGAAAACATAATGAAATGTGCTGAAATTTTGCTGAAAAACTCTATCAATTGACCCACCTTCATCATGATTTCAGCAATATTCATTGAAAATCAACGAAATTTTGGTCAATTTCAGCAATATTCATTGAAAATCAACGACATTTTAGTCAATTTCAATAAGTTTCAGTAAAATTCAGTAGAAAATCATTAAAATTTAATATGAAGAGAAATAATATTCAGCATATTTATCATTGTTATTCCATACAGCACAGTAATGTTAAATCAATGTTGAAAAAATGTTGAATTGCAACAATGTCAAAAAATAATTACAAATTTAAAAAGTGCCATAATTATTTTAGTGAAAATATTTATATTTATTGTAATAGAAGTATACAATAAATATGGATATTTTCACTAAAATAATTATGGTACTTTTTTAAATTTGTAATTATTCTTTTAAAAATACCTATACATCTAATTAAAAAGACTATTTTTATAAATAATATAAAATTTTATATTTCTTTTAATCTACATGCAAATATTACATATGGTAATTAACGATTGCTTTAGATGCAATATTGCTCTAAATGCAATATTAAATGCAAATTAACAATCGCATGAATTTATGTTGAAACATAGTGAAGAAATTAGATTTCCATATGTTTCAGTAAAGTTCGATATATTTCAGTAATTTTCAGTAATTTTCACGACATTTCAATGAAAGTTTTCATATCCTAATATATAGAAAAATTAAAAAATTAAATTGTAATTAACATAATCAATTATCAGTGAAATTCAGCACAATTTCGTTATTTATTCAAAACTTTTTCATGAAGTTTTTCATTGATCAATAAATAAGGTGCATAAAGTATTTATTTACAATTTATTATGAAATATTATTATTTCATCAAAGTTTAGCGCAATGCAGCAAAATTTGGAAATTATTGAAAAATGTTTTCACGAATTTTTTTCATCAATATTTCAGCAAAGATTCAATATAATTTATTCAGTTTTCATTGAAATTCAGTAGATTACATGATATTAAATATTTTAAAATGTTTTCATTACTTTGCATCAATATTCATTTAAAATTCATTGTTTCGTCATACTTTCCATAACAATTCGTAATAAAAATCGTGATTCATCATGAAATATTTTTAATAACTTTTCAATAACTTTCATTGGTAATTATTTAGTATAACGGACCCAGCTCCGATGACCTTGACCTTGACATATATGACAGAGGTCATCCTCCTGAGTGACCTTCTGAAGATTTTAGCCGGCGGTCATTGTTCGTTAAAAAAGTTATTGAATAACAAAGTTGCATAAAATGAGTATAATTTTTGGATACTGTATATACAAAAACGATACTGTGCATTGTTAACGAGCAATATCGAATAATAACTACAATATCGAACGACTAGCGGGGGGCTGTGCCCCCCGCACCCCCTCTCAAAACTAACCTAACCTACCTATTGTCACATTAACCGTCAGTCATTGTTTATTAAAGTGTTCAACTTTAATATTAATGTGACGATAGGTTAGGTTAGGTTAGTTTTGAGGGGGGGTGCGGGGGGCACAGCCCCCCGCTAGTCATTCGATATTGCAGTTATTATTCAATATTGCTCGTTAACAGTACACAATATCGTTTTTGTATATACAGTGTCCAAAAATTATACTCATTTTGTGCAACTTCTTTCGTTAATAACTGCAAGCATAGGCAAGCTGAAACAATTCTATCTACACTGTGTCAAAGAAATGTGAATTCTCCTTATAAAACGAGCGCGCGTGCAGGCGAGCAGTGTGTCTGTGTGTGTGTGTGTGTGTGTGTATATGTATGTGTAGAACGCATCTTCCTAGCTTACAAATTCGATGCTGCTGTATATACAGTGTCTAAAAATTATACTCATTTTATGCAACTTTTTTATTCAATAACTTTTTAACGAACAATGATCGCCGGCTAAAATCTTCAGAAGGTCACTCAGGAGGATGACCTCTGTCATATATGTCAAGGTCAAGGTCATCGGAGCTGGGTCCGTTATACTAAATAATTACCCTTTCATTTCTCTTTTTGACGATTTTATTGTATTTTCAACGATTTTATTGTATTTTCAGCAAATTTTTTCCATCAGGGAATGCACAAGTTGAAGGAGAAGACGTTAATTATAATAAACGTTATTTGTGTTAAACTTTGTGTATATTTTGTGAATAAACAAATTTAAAGTAGGAGATTCCGAACTTTTAAGTGCTATTACATATGGAACATTGAACACAAGTAAGATCTTTCGTTAATTGACTTTTTTAATTCGTTTGTTTTTATGCAATCGTCTTTGAGGTATATATTTAATGTTCGAATCGATCAAACTTTTAATTATCCTTCCGGTTATTGCGAAATTAAATGAAGGTCAATATAACTTTGGCTCTTCACGTACACCCCGAAGAGTTTGAACGGATGCTTGACCTACTTAGTTCAGCAATCGTTTGGATATTTGTTAAAATTTTTGGCAAGTTTATTCAAACAAAATATAATTCCACATATGTATCTTTAACAAATATGTATCTTTAGATATTTCTGTTCAGGATTGAATACGAAATATTCCGTAAAAGAGCAGGGCGAATCGAATCAAAATAAGCTTTGAGATAATTCCCAGCAAATACCAAAGTAACAGTTATATAATTGTTAGTTATAATTTCTTACTTAACAATATATGATAACTATTATATAATACATACGTTTCTGTGTTTGCTAGGTTATTGTTAGTTTTTGGTTTCAAACGAGCTTTTAAAGTACCAGTTACAGTGTAAAACCTTGTTTGTTTGCTTGCTTGTTTGTTGTAACGACAATTATTTCAAAGCTTTTTATTCGATTCGCCTTGTAATTTAATTCACCTAGTTCTACTTTAATTGTGTGTGTCTGCTCATTGTTCTTTAGAATATTTAATGTCCAAGAAACATTAATGAGACATTCCTAAAATGCTGTAAAGACACATTAATTTCGAGAGTATCTTTGTATACATATATTTGAAAGTTTAATGTAATTTTGGGTTGTATAAAGACTTAGAGATTTTTCTTCAATATTAATCGCATATTTTATTAAATACAATCACATTTTTTGGATAATGAGGCACAAAATTGGGCCGCAATGATTAAGTTTTTCTAATTCATCCGAGGGTCCAAAGTTTTGCAAGTATGCTGAACGCAAATCGCAGATGGTAATTGCCCATGAAAGCATGTTCCGCGGAGCGATTAATCGAGACAGGTGAATAGAACATTCTCACTACTGAGACTGAAAAATATTCACGTAAACTAACAAATTAGGGAAAAGAATTGAGCCAAAACTGCAAGTTACATTCGTCCTACGTTATAGTAGGATATTTATAATTTTGGAGATCACAGTTTATTATTACTTTTATTTTATATTTTAATGTATTTTATACGCTTACGAAATATAACGTTACTATGATGAATTGTTTCTGCAAAACTACTACAATTTTGAGAATACCTAGTCGAAATAGATAATAAACATTTCGTATTACAAAAATTTTGAGACATTCTCAGCGCTTTTCGCGGTTCTAAAGAGGCGACAAGTACAAATATAGGAAACTCTGCAGTGTACAAATTCTCGTCCTGTGTAACCGTCATGGACGATTGTAATGTCCTGAATAATAAAAATATCTCATCAATGTTTAAAATAAAAAAAAAAGATTAAATAGCTTCACTTTTCGCAGCGAATACAGCAACGCTACATGTCCATTTATCGCTGTGAATTTTATAACGCCCCAGCAAATTTCATTGCGTAGTCGTTTACACGGGGCGTCATTCGCGGGCAACCCTCGTGGTATTGTGGAGACATAAAGTTTGTTTTTCGTTCCTGCACTGCTGAACTGGTACAATAAGTTAGAGCGAGAAAAAATATACTTGTTTCATTCTAACTTATTGCACCAGTTCAGCAGTGCAAGAACAGAAAACAGACCCTTTGTATATCTCGTTGCATAATCGTCGCACGTTTACTTGGACACAGTCCTAACGGGGTTTGCTTTATATAATTCAAACGAAAGGAGAGGCGATGTCACGCGGCCGATGGGCGCGAAAGGAGCGTCCTCGCCACGTGACTTGGTGGTCGCGTGCGCAATGAAGCGCGTTCACGTGGCCTCGAGCGCTCACATGCTCCTATCAGTTATGTGCAGGCTGCGTTCCGTTATGCATTGCCAATACTCAGAATCTATAATATATGTAACGTAAACTATAGATTTTCAAGTAGCGGCAGTGTGAATGTCGGAACGTGCGCGGTAATCGACGAGCCGCGGCGCGAAGCGCGCACCTTCGCAATCGTTCTCGATATTAATTAACAATCTATCGTTTCGTAATCGTCGCCGGGGCTCTCGCCAAGCATAACGTGTATCCTACGTTACGTAATAATGTCGTTCGACAGCGGGAACGGGGATGCGGCGCTTTGCATCGTATTGTTGCTCCGACTGACGTAACTAACTTGTCTCTCAATCACGCGGCTCGACTGAGAGGTACCCTTCCTGCGCTCTCTTAATCCACCTCGAATCCTGTGCAATTCGGAATGTTTTGCGCATCATTTCGGCAAACCTGATTTATTCCACGGCTCGCGAATACATACACTCTCGACGACTCGAAGACGCAAATATTCTTGAGAATTTAAATAAGAAAGACACATGAGATTTCTAATTTAACAAGGTCTCTGCGTGCGTCTACTATATGTATATACTAATCTATTATATACTGCTAGTCTGTTATAATACTATTAGTCATAAATTGATAGTAGTTATTAATTATCTAAGCGCACACGCGAGAAGTATTGTGCCCAGACTTACAATGGAGATTGAATTCGGAGCTTGAATCATTTTGCACTTTTTGCACTCTTGTCCTGCAAAGTTTCTTTGCAATTATTCAACTTTACGATGAACAACGAAACGCGCTTGTTTCATCATTTATTCTCTGAATCAATAAAGCACAAGCTCGTCAAATACAAACATCAAATGAAACCGCGCGGAAAAGCCGCGTATCTCCGTCAAGAACTCGGAGTATACCGAGCGAACAAAGAAAGCAACGATATACAGGGTGGTAATATCGGAGGGTGGTTGGACCAATGACGAGGGAGGCTGCGCCGCGTTTCGAGCGACTGAGAGACGCAATTCACGAGCGCGAAACAGTCAACGCGCGTACTCTGAGACGCTCACGTGTCCTCCTACTTGTAGGGGCGACTCATGAGCGACAGAGTCCTGTTTCAAAGAACTTTCATCGTCGATATACTCGCATATCTTGACATATATCGCACGATCCTACGACCTGCTGTTTAAATCTTCTAAATAAATCTGAAATACTTTCCTGTAAAAAGAAGTAACCGTCAAAATTTTCCGGACATCGACTTTTTTATTTTATAATATGTTATATAATTTTTATTTGCATAGTAGTGGAATCTTTCAGTTGTCGCTCAACTTGAAAACATTATTAAACCTTATATATATATTTCTTTTTCATTTTTTTACTAATTACTATTTATTAATTCTTAAAATTAGAGCTTAATGCATTTTACAAAATATCAGACAATGAAAAAGTGACAAAGTAGTTACGATAATCACGGGAAATATTATTCTATACGCTTGACGGATACGCGAATGCGGGTTTAGAGTAAAGTCACTTTGTTTGCTTATACACGTTTATGCATACATAACAATCCCGTAAGGAGAAAGTGAAAAGTTAAACATCCTTCCAGGACTGAGTTGAGTCGCTTTCTATTGTTTTGCATAGCATTCATTGTCGTTGGTTTAACTAGTCATAAAATTTACATTTACATTTTTCATCGCTTGAATTACTTGAAGAATGGTGAATACTTGCAAGCTAGGGTGACTAATGTGGACTTCAAATATTAACGGGAGGCATCGACAGCGAAAGTATTTCTGGTAAGACCTTATTCAATTATTATTGTGAAATAATGCATAGTATAAATTTTTATCGATTCAGGTTACATTTTATCCTTCAAGTTTCAATTAATTTTAGTTAATTTCAGTTCTCGTAAAAATTGCTTCAAACCAATCTCGTTACTAATCATTACTACAAACAGAAGAAATCGTTGTTTACCTTTAAATAGATTCAGAAAATTAATATTACGAGATTATTTGATCGCTTAGTGGTGGATTATCGCATTAATTATGACATTCCATTGTTTTGCTTGAAAATCTAAAGTAACTTCTCATTTTTCCATTAGTGCCACGCAATAATAGAAGAATATCATAATTGACTTATCTAATATTCAGATGCATAACGTAATGATATCGTCTTAATAGCGATAAAGGAATTATGAATAATGCATGTAATATAATATTATGTGAAGAATTCACTAGTGGAACTTAAAATCTATTATCTCTTTTCGAGTATTTATCGTCTATTTTAATACGAGATATGGAATTATATTTCGTTGAAAATTACGCGAATTCCTACTTGCGACTTTTCGGCTTTGTAATCCGCTGAAAATAATCTATTAAATATATTACTGATTAATGCGTTTCATGGTTCAAAATTTCCTTTAGTTACCGAGGTTGGAGGTACTTAGAAATTTTACGAGATATAAATAACAAAATAACTGACTCGCTAAACAGTTATCGGGAAAATGAAACTCTCGCTCACTTAGCTAAACTTATTTTGCAAATTGAAATAAAGAGTTCTTCAGCATTATGCTTGCGCTTTGCGAACATATATGGACTTCCAAAATATAAGCATAGTATATTATATAAATAATTATATACATATCACTAAAATTAAATAATAAATTAATATTTAATATGTACTGCATTTGCAAATAAATCTTAAACATATATTTAATTGAAATTAAAAATCACATTTTAAAATAAATGCGATTTTAATGCGAAATATAAATATAATTTGCGATTTACGACTAAATTATATATTATTACGTAATGATTTTCTTGCTGTCTAAAATACTCCTTAAGAACTGACAATTATGCATAAGTTCCTTCCTCAGCTTAAAATAGCTTGCAGATTTGAATCGTTATTATACATTTTGCACGTATTTTTATAACTTATATTTTATTGCACGAGATTTTCTTGCACGAGATTTGTAATAATATATGTAAAATTTTACAAAAAGATTGAGGAAAAGGGAGAAAATGGCAGAAGGAGAAAAGGAAAGGGGGAGATAAAAAGAGAACAGAGACGATTACTATTGCCATTTTACTGCTGAAAGCTCTGTATTTTATGTCGCTTTATGAATCGGACTGATTATTGTCTTTAAAACAGCACAACATCTAAAGTATCTCCAAATAAAATATTACTGTTTACATTATACTTCGATACATCAATACACCGGAAAAGTTGTATTCTCCATAAAAGAAGACTGTGTGCTTTTCCGTCACTCTTAACAGATATTTTTATAAAATAAGAATATTTTCTTCTTTTTATAGGTTTATATCCTCTGAAATAAGGAAAATATTATTTTCCTATACCCAATCTTTACAACAACTATCGCTCGTTTCCTGTGAAATGTCGCTTGTTTTTTATGACCGTGAATTCAAATCCAGTCGGAAACAATACATAACGCGCGATTTTTCTTCGTCGTTCGAAGTATTAAATTTTACTCGTAATACAGTACCTTAGTTATCTTTACAGTACATAACTTCATAAATTTAAAATATCTATAAATATATTAATATTTAGAATATTTAGAGTATGTAGTACTAATCCTTTACATCTAATATTTAGGCTATGCAATACTAATTTTTTACATAATTCTACTCTTAATATAAGAGAATCCTCTTAGATTTGGATTTCACGCAACGGGCAACGATTCCTATATAAGCTGTGCAAGGATGAATACGTAACACATTGAGTTTGGCACGGATTAGGTATGCATCTACTGATAATCCAATTATGTGATCTGACATCCCGAACGTATTAGGATGTATTCGCACTGTAAACACCAGATGAGCTTGTCAGTATATTACGGGAGATGGAGAATTAATTCGTCTTCGATTCATAGAGGATACAATTATCACCATACTATTGAAGCAAAGTATAATCTAATCGGCATCCGTACTATGTGGCAACCGTGACCAAAATTCCCGATATATTATATTGACGTTCAAAAACATTTATAACCTGAATCAATGTGCAGCAGCGCTGAATTTGGCAGGGAAACGTTCATCAGGGAAACGTTAGATGTAGAGTAGCGATACGCTGTAGAATGATCAAAGATAACAAGATTTTTATTGCCTATGTGTGCTTTATCGCAGAGCTAAAGAATTTATCAAGGTGTACTTGTGTGTAGTGGGGCGAGTTTAACTACATGTTTGCGTGCAAAGAGATGTAAAGAGAGAACTCATCATTAAACATTGTAAAATATAATACGAGTTGTTTAGAAATTTAATTAGAATTTAACAACACGGCGGCTTTTATTCCTGTTTTATTTAAAAATGAGACCAATGTAATTATCTGTGTAGGGAACAACTCATTTACGTGAAATTGCGTGAAGAAATTGTTATTCACAGCGAGTCCGCGATTCTTAGGCGCAAAGGAAGATTGAAAAAAAACATGTTTCAGCTGAAATAAAACTTGAAACGAGGACGAAGGTGCAGAACTTTGGCTACGTTTGTACTATTTGTGATGGGTCTTTCGCTTCGCTTCGCGTAATCAAAAAGATTTCAATCAGCTCCTAGTATGTCCGTGTATATGGACAATACTTGTTAAACTATAGTGAATATTCGCCGAAGCGTCCGCTAACATCCACTGACCTGTTTCAATCAATGTAAACCGACTGATCCGATTGATTAGGATCCTAACTTATTAATTAACTAAACAGGAAATACGATCAGTCAGTTTAATTAAGTCACAATTCTAACAGGGAGCACTGTATTTCACGGTTAAGTTCCGTTGTAACACAACATATCAATCAATGTTATAACTTTATTGACGTTTAATTGCTACGAGTCAATTTATTTATTGTTTTTAATGACAGGTTTGGTTTCAATACATATCTGTATAAATTATTTGCATTTCTTCCACGAATGTATCTTTCGTAATGTATTTATTTACGTCGCATTTATTTATTATGCAATATAAACTCCAATCGAAATAAATAATTCTCGATAAACTAACAGAAGCAATTTCATTCTCTCGATGATTCCTCGTAGCTGAGTTTTATTACAAACCTAGTTTGGCGGAGGTTGAGGATTAACCATTATTCGAGAACATTTGTATACCTTTTGCAAGTAAAGCGGGGATATACGAATCAAAGATCACTCAAAGAATTATTCTGTATCGTATCGAAACAAAGTTCCGGATCGATAAATAACGCATGATCATTTTACTGTATGACATATCGCTCCACATATAAGTTTACAGCCTCGGGGCTTCACGTGTGCTCGCGATATTTACTCTAGACACCGAGTAATTGCTTTCTCTCCTATTCGACCTTTGTCCTTATAAACATGGTGTAAATCATGAACAGAAAGATTGAAAAGTATATTTTGTATGAGTTTCGGAATATACCCCACTCGTCTAACAGAAGAGTTAAAGAGACAGACAGAGTTCTCCTTTTGAACAAATATGTTCCTAAACTCACGTAAAATATATTTATTAATCTTTCAGTCTACCAGTGTGTACATAATGTTAAATTAACTAAGACATTTACTGACACTTACGGTAACGTTTGATACAAGATAAAAATTTTCCAATTCTTTTTCTCCATAGTGTGGGCGATTTCGTCTGCTGAAAAAATGGTTTTTCCGTAGCTCTGTGGTTACCGTCTATACACCGCAATCGATTGTCCCATTTTACCGGAAAAGCTCTAACGTGAATTTTAATTAAAACACGGTTTTTTCCAAATCAGTAATTTCACTTGGAAGATAAGAAGATAAAGAAAATCTATCAAATTATAAAGATATCTTGCAAAGAATTAAAATTAAACTTAAATTTAATCGAGAACTAAAATCAAAAATTAAATCATATACTAAATTCAGTTAAATTCAATATTAAATTAAATATTGGAAAATCGTATGTACACTTGTATAATTATTGTTAATGATAATTGACTCATTTGACTGAAATTGGTTAAGCTTCTTAAGGTTCCTGCTGCTTTGCCGCGGAACTTTTAATTGGTGACATCAGAAGCGAGAGAAAAAACGCATGCCCAAAATTTCTGCGTAATACGCTAAAGTAAAAGGATATGTCCATAAAAGTGATCCTTGAGATCGATTCAACACATTTGTCAAATATTCCGAAAACTTTCTTTTTGTCCTATTAATCAATAAATAACCATAAAATTGACATAACATGCAATCTTCTTTTTTAGTTTTTCCTTATGCTTTTGTCACATTATTTTACGATTGTTTATTGTTTGTTGTAGTAATTATTCGAGTAAAAGGAAAGAGTTCAAAATATTTTACAAATATATACAATTAATTGCAAGTATCATTTTACGGACATAACTTTTTATTTTACATACATTTACTCTTGAGCATACATTTTCTCGCTTCTGACGTCATTAATCAAAATAGTTGCTGCGAGGATATTGCAGCCTCAAGAAAAGCGTCTCTGCGGAAATATAAAATCGAGAAAAAAAAGTTAAAAATATATATTTTGCAGAAGAAATGAACTCTTTACTACAAAAGTAACAAAATTATTGTGTTAAATATATACTACATACAATAAAGTATCAATTCAAGTAATTATTATTATTTATTATTATTAATTATTATTACATTAGTAGTTGTATTTTGTTTTTGTACTCTAATATAATATTAAGCAGAGCTACGTGTTACCAACTTTCACGTTACAGTTTCTGAGACATAATTTTATAAAAAAAAATTAACTTTAGCCACTAAGGAAGAATCGTTAATCTCCGTCAAGTGCATTTCAGTATTAATAGTTTCTCTATTTACTCGCATTACATTTAGATATATTTGGCGGAAATATATTTCAATTTATGTAATAAGAGAAACTTGATATTTTAATGATGATAATAATAATAGTATTATAATGGGATTATGACAGATTTTTGGAACTGCATCCAAATGTTCGAAGCTACTCAATTTTAGTACGTGTTGATACACGGCTTGACCTCTTTTACTTCAAAGCTCAATAGGACCGTGCATATTGGCATGCTGACATGGACAGCTATCAGCTGTTTTCCGTACGCTTGATATATCAATAAATAATTGCATACGGACGGAAGACATTGATATATGACATGAATATATAAATTAACGGTGACAGTCACGATTTCTAGCAAAAAAATAAAAACAATTGCAAAAAGGAAATCCATTTCTTAAATACGCGCAATTCTATTAAATGCTTAACTGAGACAAATTTTGCCACAAATATACCTTTTTTATTTTATAAGATAGTGTTTTCTTAATATTGAAAGCATAGAAAATTTTCAAAGAATAAAGAGTTAAAAAGAATTAGAGAGAAAGATAGAAAGACACATGAAAACCCAAATGATCACACGTTTCGTCACTAAATGCATAGATAATTTAATTATATAAATAATAGATAACTTAATTATGCTGATAAACAGTCGTGCGTGTATTTATATGTCACGCATACAAATCGTAGTCCCGCGAATACAGATAACGAATCGCACACTAGCTCTTGTTTATTTAAGAGAATGTAGAGGTAATGTGTGAAATCAGTATTTCTAAATTACGCGACAAACTCTGTCTCTGGCAGCTGTATATTTTATTTCGTCGACAAATCCCAAGTTGCATTAGCCAGAATTAGTTATGCCATCAAATAATCACGTCGCGTCATGTAGCATAATTTTCCAATAATTTTTAATTGCAATTTGTAATTTGCATTTGCATTTTTAATCGAGCGTTGATTTGCGCGCTGCACTAAATGTTACACTGAATATTTCGCGAACAAATTTACATGACATTTTTTTTACACTAAACATATTTGTTGCTTATTTTCATTATTTACGGAAATGTTCCCTATAATGGAATTTCGTAGCTTGTAATTAAAATATAATTAAAATTAAAGAAATAAGATTTTTAATTATTTGCGTTAAATTTGTGAGAATTAATCCATAAGTCGTTAAGGTAAATGTATCAATGCCCGGATATGCACCAATCTCCGGACTTGTTATTATTTTTATATTTGAATATGAATATTTCAACTTTCAATGTACAATACATACATATTGGTATACATACATTTAATATTTATATTTAGTGTACGTTGAAAGATAAATATTTAAAGAAATATTCAAAATAATAAGAATATCCAGAATTAGGTACATGTCCGGGCATTGGGACATTTACCTTAATAAGGGATCGTTCTTCAAATTTTTTCCAAAAAATTTTGATACACTATTAATAATATAAACTGTTAAATTTCATTAGTTAGAACTTTTTTTTTAATCTTCTATCTTTAGATGCATTTTTTATTTAGTTATATTCTCAAAGACTTGAGACAAAGTTGTAAGCAAAAGAGTAACTTTTTACATTATGAGGTTATAGAGAAGGCTTAAAAGAAAATAGAGCGTAGTGACATTGTGTAATATGAAGTTCTGCGCCAGGAATATATCGGCAGAAAGTAACTAAGATGAAAGTGGCGGTCACATTTTCCGAAACATTTGGAGAATATAATTCGGGGATTCCGGACAATTTCACGCTCCGTCTTACGTATCGACCGTTTTGAGGTCTCGCTGCTTGAAGATCATGGCCGTACAGCCTCGACCCTGATTCTATCGCGTAAAATGCACGAACACTGAAAGAATAAAAACATTTTACTGTATCCAGCGAGTTATTACTTTAAGAACACATCGATTCGTTTTTTTTTTACTACTATTTAAGAAAACAATTACTTTCTTGAAAAATATTCCGTAATTTTGCTTCAAATAAACTATTAACTCACATACATTACAGAGATGCATATCTTTATAATATAAAATAATCTACAATAAGTAAAAAGTATTGTATAATTAAATATTAATAGTAAGCCAATACCAAAAGTTAATTTGCAGAAAATTGTTGTCTTTGAAACATCAATTACAATAATCTTCATAAAGCTTGCGCGTCGCTGAAGAGATAAAGTATTGATTTATTGAGTAATGAGCTTATCATACTGATATTAAATGATCAGAGCAAAAATGACTTATTCACGCAGGAAAAACACGTCGAATTCAAATGTAATGAACGCCTAACATTGTGTTTCTAAATACTCGAAAGAAAGGCAGGTTAATTAGCTAATGTATAGAAGGATTATCATTCATTTTTTTAGTTTGTTTACTCGTACAACTTAGGAGTTTTTTCTCTTCTCTGTAAGGAAATGTAAATGTAATATATATGGACATAAATACGTGACGAGAAGTTATGACCGGAGGTAAAGCGTAACGAGACACAAGAGAGAGCTTATTTACAGAGCCCAGCACCGTTTACTACGAGGCAAACATTGGAACGAAGATGTAGAAGCGCCGGGCAAAAGTGGACTATTAGAGGAAAAAATGGACGCCCTAAGTGCCAACGGCAACAACACTCAAGTATTCTGCGATATTCAGTACAAACATTTTGTAGCACCGCACGGAGGTATGATCCGATGAAGTCAAAGTTTATTTCCCGCATAATGATTTTCAACCATTCGTAAACTTCGGTTGTTCGGTTGAAAAAATGTTTTAAAAGATAGTGGCAGACTTTTTATTTGTCATAGCTTTACTTTATGTGAAAACCCCCAGCAGATCCATGTTTGCGATCAAGCGTGTACACAAAACGAAACATGATACATAAAAATGACGATGTATATATATATCATATTTGTAAATTTTACAGAAGACTGAATGCAGGCTTTGAATATTGTGAATATTTGTCAAAAATAAAGCTCTCGGAATATTTCGTAATATTTATTTTTCATGAAATTTCGATTTTCTATTGAAGTAAAAATAAATATATAGTAACATCGATGCGTGCACACAACACAAAGGCGATGTAGCATCCATAGTAAGCTTAGCATCAGTCATTTTGTCTCATCAATTATTCGTTATCCATTTTACAGAACTCTGGTGCAATCCGGTATGGGACTCGTTGCTCTGTTGGCCGCCGACGAAAGCCTCCACGACGGCGAAGCAGCGATGCCCTTTCGTGGATGGATTCGATACAACCAGTAAGTAATCGCGCGGTAGTTGCTCCGAGTGGCTCTTGAGTCACAATTTTCCCACTAACGTATAACCGCTGAACTAAAAGCCTTTCGAGTCAATAGCTTCCTCATGCCAATGGACAACTATCGCACTCTACTGTACACTCTACCTCCTAAAGTGCAATCAGTGTATTTTTTATTGAAATGCTGTACTTACAACTGATGATTTAGCTAAAAATAAAGCGCTGCTTTATTTTCATGATGTACGTAGCAATCAGTAGAATTTCGCTGAAAGAATCTGTTGATAGCAGCGACTGTTCCTATTATTGCTTCAGTTTTCAAACACAAACAATGTCACTGCACGCAAATCGTACGAAACGCAGAAAGTTGGTTTTGGCACAGCGTGTATATCAAATCTGTGGTGTACAGATTTTACAGTGAAATCTTTTCACTGTAGTCAAAATCAGTGAAATATAAGACGAAGCAGTGAAGTGGAAGCAGTGAAGCAGGAACATTTTTTTGCTGATTCACTTTAAGTGAATAGTCTGTCAGAGTTTCCGCATCCGTCGCGTTGTAATTTCCGTAAGCGTTTTCATTGAATTGCTCATGCTTCTCAACAATTGGAAGTGAGTTCTTATTGAATCTCATGAATAATCGCGTACTATTCTAATGACAACGTGTCAGTTGACACGTACGGTGAGACCTGCAGGCGAGTTTCCGCAAAATCATATTCTCTTGGCTAATTTCCAGAGATCCTTGGGTGACGTCAAGAACTTAAAGATTAAATGCATTTATACATTACTGTCTTCTAGTATCAAAGAGTTTCAAGAGTTTAATGGAGGTGCATTGTTTAAAAACTTTGAAGACCGTTTTACCGCAGAAAGTCATTATAAGTTCTCTGTAGTCGAGCAATACCTTTTATTTCTCACACAACCGCAATCTGCAAAAACTTCTTGCCGAACTCTCAAAATTCACGCGTTGAGCTAGGATAATTTGCATTAATGACCCTGTATTGATCGCATGAAGAGATTTTCCGAATTATAGCGTGACCGCGATCTATCTGTCGAGCGTTTGACTTAAACTTAAAATTGCTTGCGTTTAATTTTAATAAAAAAAAATATTATATTATATTATGTTTTCCGAAATAATTTTACGGCATTTTTTAGTTTTTAACTTTAAAATGTAAAATTAATGCATCATCTAAAATTAAAGAAAAATACATAACATCTATGTGAGAGACTACTTAAAAAGATATAGGTTCTTCATGTTCACAATTTAAGGATTTAAAATCTTAAACTCCTTCAGAAATCTCGATTGATCATAAAATTTCAACACACGTCTTGATACATTTAATCGATTACATCCTATAGGAAATATGAATAAAAAAATGCACGACAGAGATCGATGGAGGGACTGAATGGAGGTCGAAGATGAATTGCGACGCTATTTCCCCTTTAAGAGGAGGATCAAACGAGCTTAAAGTTTGACACTTCTGCAATTCGACTTAACTTGCAAAACTTAAATGTAATATTGAAAAGAAGTTCAATAAATTTAAATATGTGAAATTACCGTAAATATGTGAAATCTGATACATTAATATAAATCAACATATACCATAAATGATTATGAATGAAATGTATACTTCGTATTTAACTTTGCAAGTAAATTAATCTCCTGTAACATATATTATTGCTTATATATATATGTGTGTGTGTGTGTGTGTGTGTGTATATATATATATATATATATATATATATATATATATAACGTCATATATTAATGGAAACCAATATAATACTAATTAGTCTATGAAACATAAGAGGAAAAATAGTAAAAGACTTTTATTGTAATCATAGTATTATGGATCGTAAATCTTATTAATACTATTAATATTATTAATATATTATCAATACGAAATAAAATTACGATAAAAAACACTTTTTGTATTACCTGGAATCAATATTATAAGCGGCAACACAGTAACGATATGCAGATTGCATTCATCTTTAAAACATTTCAAAGCCACATTCTGTTCGAGGATCGTGCATCACAAGAACTTTTTCGAGGCCTTCGAGTGCTACATTATTCAAAAATATCGCGCAATATCGAAAAAATATTTGTATCAAAAATACTTTACCTTTTATCTATACATTACGTCAAATTTTTTATTACTTACACATAGAGAGCGAACGAGAGAGAAAGAAAGAGAGAAAGAGGGAAAGAGGCAGGAAGGAGATAAAGATAAAGATTTTTCTCTTTTTTCTGTCCTCTCATGTTATATTCATCAGAATTTTCCTAATTTATCACTAACCATCGGCTTAGTCTATTTTTACGTGAATCAAAAAGTGAAATAATTCTAATTGTATATACAAAATTAGTTTAATTATAAATAGAGAGAGATAAATAGAAAATTGGCTTTAGTGTGTTATAAGTATACATTAATATAAAGAGATTCCTGCGTGTAATGACAAACTGAGAAAAAAATTTACTAAATTTCAAAAAACGTTGTTAGACGACTATGAACACATTTGTTCAAATTAAGTAATTATTTTCTAAAATTAAAGAAAGAAATTTATATTTAAAACTTCTTTATTTAATTTTAGAAAATAATTACTCAGTTTAAACAGATATGTTCACAAATATGTTCAGTCGTATTCAAACAAACGTTTTTTGAAATTTAGTAAATTTTTTCTCAGTGCACTTTTGTATTTAATTGTTATTTAATTTCATATTCCAAAGTTATTTGATATGTCAAAGCTACGAGATAAACACAGAGTTATAATGAAATGTATTTATAATGAAATGTAATCTTTATTATATATATTTAACAATTTTATATATATTTATATATAGTATCTTATATTATTTTTTTAATACAAAATGAAATATCACGCAACGCGTGATTATTTATAATTATTATCTTCTCATCCCTTTCCTTTCTATTTTTTTCATTAATTAATTCGTTTAGAAAGATTATTATGGAAAACTAGAATACCGTAGAATTAATATTCATTCGCGGTTGGATCGCCGCAAGGTACTTGGAACGTGTTATCGACTGCTGTAAAAATAATGAGAACAGAATCAGATCTCAGCCACGTATGCATTTCTGTGCGCGAAAGACGTGCGCTTGTCACTCTTCGACCCACTTCGTTCGCACGTTGATTTTGCACTCGATAGCGCCGCGACGCTTCGATGACTTCAAATGCGTCTCAAGACCAATTCTACAAATCATCGATATTAACAGATGCTTCGGTTCTTCTCTTCTCTCATTGTTACGAAAGTGCGCTGAGTTAACACTATTAAAAACAGCTTCTTTTTGCAAATAATGCTTCTCTCTCGTTTTGCATTTTCTGTCTTTAAAAAGGCATCGAATAAGAACATATAGGCTAAGAGCACTTTGTAAAACGAGCTTAAAGGATCAAAGTTCTTGCTGTTGTGTATATGTCAAAGTATGCTGTTGTGTAAATGTAGGTCAAAGTATTTCTATTACGAAAAATGATTTGATTTTCATGAATGAAAATACTTTATTTCTTTCGCGATCGGAAGTTTTTAAAAAGCCCAACGCGAGAATTATAGGTGCAGAACTTTTTAACGTTGTTAAATGTTGTTAGTGAAATGTGCTTTAAATAAAACGGTCCAATTGTCCTCAGGACTACATAATCATATATTTTTCCTTTTTCTGTATCGCATATTCCTCTTCATTTTAAATAGCAAAGTGGTTGTGTAAGTAGCTTTAAAAATTTTTGTGAAAGCCCTGCAACCAGACGTTATTCCACGGCAAAGGAATTTTCTTTTTTTCTTACTATCGTCTGTAAATTTCGCGAGTAAAAAGTTAGAATTTAGATCACAAAGTAAAGCTCGAACATCGAGCGCAAATAAAATTCGGTTTATCGAGAGTCACTGGAATATTACTGTCACTTTACGGTATTCTTGGAAAGCGGATTCGCATAAAGCCTGTTACAACACGTTCAGCAGCAAGTATGAAAGCCGATCGCATCCCTCTCTTCAATTTTTCGTGCTTTAAGGGAAGCTTTAAAATGACAGTGAGCTCTGATTCTTCGTCGCGTTTCTCTTTATCCCACGGAATATTAATAGCTACCGATTCTTTATCTACGCCAGTGTATAGTTCGTGAATTACGGAAAATGTAATCACAACGTAATCCTTCAGTAAAAACGTATCCTTTCGATTTTTTTGTCAGAATCCGTGGAGAAGAAATGCGGTTACAATGGGCATTGGGAAACGCAGAATGGGACGAGAACGAGCGAGGACTCGCTTACTGGTTGGGCCAACTATACCACTTGTTTAACACCAGAGATGCTTTGGCTCCACTACAGAGTGTACAATAATAATCTCGAAGGCGAGGTAATTAGCAGCAAAACAATGCATCTGACAGCATCTCATCGAGGCTGCACGAATGTCTGGAACGGTTGATTTAAGCTCAATCATAGTTTTGTAATGTAGAATCGCTAGACCAGTTCTACTGTGATTTCACCGTTCGGCTCCGTCTTAGAATTAGTGGATGAAATCGAAATAGAGATACAGAAAATAAAGTGAGAATCGAGTGGCAAAATGTGGAACATCGAATAACTTAATCATGTATATCGCCAACTTTAACGTTTTCTTCCATGATACAAATCGATACAAATCGACGAGTCAGAAAGTGGCAAAATACGAATTCATATGTTTCTATCTTGAAACTTTAGGCTATGATATGCTGCATAAACGACGTGAATATAAATGACGATATTATTTATCGCATTGCGCCGGATGTAGTCGGATGTTCTTCACGTTTCTGACTGACTCAAACTCTTCAATGATTTTGCTTTTTTTCTTCTATTAAAATGTGGCATGTGGCAATAAAAATTGCAAACTGTCGCTGTAAAATGTTTCAAAATTCCCGTCTTTTCCTATACATCATTCAATTGAATTTTGCTAAATGTATTTTCGTGGAAACTGTTTTTTTTATATTTTACCTTTCTTCTGTCTCTCTTTCTTGGAAATATGTAAGAGATTTGATAATTTGATGCATCTCTAAAGCAAATGGAAAGATAATAACTGAATCTCTGCCAATAACTTCATTCTGTGTCCTACGCGGAAAATCTCCGCAATTTTTCGCGTGATGAAAGTATATTGATTAAATGCAATCTTCTTTTTTTCGTTACATCGATGCTCGGGAAAAGCATCATCTCTTTCGCTCTTTTCGTCTCTTTTCCCAGATGAAAATGGAAATTGCCGAGAGAACCCGCATTCTCGAATTTGTCGGCCTCAGCATCTCCTTGGTGGCACTGGTCGCTTCCTTGGTGATTTTCTGTCGATTTAGGTGAGCCCGTAATGTAACTAAAATGTAAAAAAATACAATTTATATGATACATTATAAGAATCCCACTTGGGACGCTATTAACTTGATAAAATGTAAATGTGAACAGCCTAAAAAATGCATATATGTATTGTACAATTGGTTCAATATCATTTGCCTAAATTCGCGCCCGAAACGATAATTGAATTAAAAGGCCGTAGCCGAAAATTTGAACGATTGCACTAATTAAATTCCACAGGTCGTTGCGGAACACGAGAACCAGGATTCACAAGAATCTCTTCGTCGCCATGGTCATCCAAGTGTTAATTAGGTTGACATTATATATAGACTTTGCGATTTTTCGGAGGAAGACGTACAGCGTGCGGGGAATAGGAAATACCGTAAGACATAGTCGAATTACTTATAATAAATGAAAGAGCAATGAAAAAATGAAAGAAATGAAAGATTAATGTAAATTATTGTAATTACTTTATTAATCTTCTATGCAAAGAAAAATTAACGCCACCGTATATTTTCATATGATGTGATCTATTCTTTATCGTATTATTCCTTCAAAGTTGGATTCTGCTATCGATCAAGAGAGAATCAATTATATCATAATTAATAACTCTTATCCTAAAATATACTTATTTTCTGAAAATATCCTTCACATTGAGCCAGAAATTTGCTATTTAAGATTATTTATATTTTGGTAATTTGATTAAATTTGAGCCTTCTTCCATCTGTGATAAGAATTATAGAAATGACATCGATCCCGCGTTTTTGTTAATAAATCGTACTCTTACGGCGTTTATCCACGCGTAAATACAAGTTTGATTCTTATTGACTTCTCATTCACACGTTTGATAAATGACAAGATTATTTTCATGCAAAACGCGACCTCGTAATCTCAAATCCGTTCGAATTCGCGCACGAAACAACGAATCCCAGTTATCCTTTCTCTACGAACATCAAAATAGTGTAAAATTACATTTCAGTGAAAATGAAGCCTTTTTACTAAGTTTCGAGATGCGGTACCTCTCGAAACTTTTACCGGGTCAATTAGTGACTAGGTCGTTGGTTGAGCTCAGATGGACACATTTCCGTCGAGCACTCGGCACGTCACTTCTGTTCGCACACGAAGCAAACAAATTTTACACGGTCCATACCCACACGAGTTTTCGGTAAAAAGCGCTTGATATCTTTCCCCAGATAGCACAGAGAATTCAATAAGAATTCAAAAAGAATTCAAGTCATCAATTCTGAGTTCATTTTCAGATGTAAAAAGAATTCTTCAGAGTTCAATGAAAAGAATTCTTTTTGTATCTAAAAATGAACTCAGAATTGGTGACATACGACTGAATTCTTTTAGAATTCTCTGTGCTATCTGGGTTCTCCTTGTATTTATTTCCAGCCGGTGTTGTGTGAAGCGAGTTATGTGTTGCTGGAATACGTCAAGACTGCGATGTTCATGTGGATGTTCATTGAGGGCTTATTTCTGCACAACATAGTAACTGGTACGTAAGCAAATGCAATGACATTGTGCATGCTTTATGTATGTGTATGTGTGTGTTATGTATGATTAAAACAAACGCTCGTAGAATAAATAACAAAACGAAAAGAAAGGACGACATTGCATTGCAGTATACCAGTGAACTGCTCAGCTTGAAATTGTTTATATCGAATTTTTCGGCTCAGTGTCGCCTCTGAGTTTTGAAGAGTAACTTTTGTTTGTCAGATGTCCAAATTTGTCAAAAAACTAGCAAGAGCGAAACAGATCACGATTGCGTATCAAATTACATCGCGGTAAATACGATAGACGTTCGATTTGTTAAAAAATATTTCAGTAGTTGAGAGAAATGTAAGGCCGACAAGAGTCACCCGTGCACTGGATATTAGTGCGAATTATTATTAAATTATGGGAGTAATATAGTTTAACACAGGCACGTGCATTTACACTGCAAAACACTATTACCTTAGTGTGTTTACGCAATATTATCCTGCGTTTACAAACAATATTAGTCTTGCATTATTTCATCATTCGCACAAATATTCTAACTATATACTTTCACATATATATAGTATATAGTTCACATTTTGGTAATTCGATTAAACTTGAGCCTCCTTCCACCTGTCAATTATAGAAATAATATCAATCCCGCGTTTTTGTTAATACATCGTGCTTACGGCTTTATTGCAACTTAAATACGCGTTTGATTCTTATTGATCTCTCTATCACACGTTTGATAAATGCAAATTATTACTATTGAATTATTATTACTGTTGAAGTAAATCGATACATTTTAAAGAACTAATCGATGTAAAAGCCGTACTTAATTAATTGACAGCAACAACGACATAATTCATTATCGCGTTTAAATACTTGCAATATTACAGTGACGGTCTTCCAAGAGACGTCTTATTACCGAATGTACCGTTTCATCGGATGGGGATACCCAGTGCTCATAACTTTGGTTTGGGCCATCGTTATGGCGTTTTACTATCATCCGAAATCGAAGTACGTTGATTACTTTATCGCAAGCGCTGAATATAATTTTCTTTATTCACGAAGATATTAGCGAAATACCTTTTCAATCACATTTTCTTAATTAAACTATCGATTGCAATTCTGATTAAAATTCTATTAAAACCCATGTTGAATCAACTGAAGTTCCATTATCCATTTAGCGTCTCGAAATTATCTCGCGGCAAATCTTTTATTTTTATTTGCTGACCACTCGAAAGCTAAAAGTAATTTGATATTTTATTGACAACATTGCTTCTGTTTTAATCGAGAGAGAAGCATCTGTTATTGAAGTGTTATTTGGTATTAGAAGAGACAAATTCTTGGGTAGGAGAGACAAATTAATTTCTTTTGCAGAAAGAACTATTAAAACATGTCAAAACATTAGGTTTCTCAGATGCTGGTCGGGGTACAATTTGTCCTCCTATTTTTGGATCCTTGAGGGACCTAGATTTGCGGTGATATTGGTGAGCATATTTGTTCTAGCAAAATCTTATCATTAATTTACAAGAAAAATAATGGATTTAATTATATTAAATTTTATTATCTTTCTTTCTCTCTCTTTTCCTCTCTCTCTCTCTTCTCTTTCTCTCTCTCTCTCTCTCTCTCTCTCTCTTTCTTCGTTATATTAAATTTTCATTCACTATTTCATTTTATTTATTATATTAAGAAAATTTTATAATTTGATATATAGTATTGATTTTGAGAAAGAAACAGCGATTTCATATTAAATATTATATATAATACCGTACAATACAGATTTCCTCCAATGAGAAATTCAAAGAAATAGATTTGATAATAAATATAAAAGAAACATACTCGTGTTTTACAAAATCAAGTCGTTAACGTTTTTTATGCAACTATTTATTGTATTTGTCTCATATCGACTTTTAAAACTGTTCTAAATTATATGTTAACTTTTTTATCTAAATAATTGATGTTTTTCCATGTAAAATTGTTCACTGAATGCGAATATGATAATAGTAAATTGATAAAAATAATTTAAAACCGTAAAATATTTAATTTGTAAAAAACTGATTTGAATTTTTTAAATATTTTCATTTATTTTCAATCTTTTTCACAGATTTTGTTAAGAATTTTGGTCGTTTGGTTTGCCGTTTGTATGATTTCGATTTCGTATCACGAACAATAGACCAGTAATATTAGTGTGTCACCACGCTCGGTAGCCAAACAACAAGTATCTATAGTAACTAATACTTTTTTAGATACCTGTTTTTTTTTTGTTATACTTCTGGTTTGTTATAATTCAGAAACATATTGATTCTTTAAGACTCGAACACAAGATAAAGACTTAAGGTATAATAGTTATAAGGTATATGTAATTGTCTTAAAGTAACAAGTTGGCTATTATAAAATGGTTCTAACAAACGAAAACGATTTGATCTGGTAAAACGCGAAGAAACGGTTATGTTTGTTTTACATTTCTTTTCAGAATCTCTTTGAATTTTTCATGGGAGGAAAAAAATTCGATTTTTTGTCTGTATAATTTCATGTACTACGTTAATGAAAATACACGCAAGAGAACACACTACAGATTCTGAAATAATTACGATTGTTTTTACAAAGCTTAATATCGACGTATTTAATAATTTTTTTAAAGATGTAGCATGTTAACATTTATCATTAAAAAAACAGATCTCGAGTAATTAAATCTCGAAATAAAATTAATTTATTAATTAATTTAATTTAACTTAAAATTAATTTAATTTAATTCTTAAAGCGTAAATGAACGCTCGACTGGTTCGATCTATTAAACAATTATTAATTTAATTATATTTTCATTGCTTTCAGCTCAATTTCTTGTTCCTGCTGAACATTATAAGGGTGCTCGTAGTGAAGCTGCGACAAAGTCACACGAGTGAAATTGAACAGGTTTTGTAAGTACACAAATAACTATCAAAGGAGTCAAAGAGTCGAAGAGTAAAGTAGAAATTCTAAACTATATTTGAATCTTGAAATTCTTGGATCCTTGTAAAATTAATCGGCTTGCGGTTAATTGATTTCGTAGATTACAGTCTGCAACAAGTAACGACTCTCATATAGCACAAATGTACAAATATATCCCAGAGACGTCCCAGAGATATCATATTGTCTCTATGACGTCTCTGGGATGTATTTCGGACTTTTGTGCTGTATGTGGCATAACGCCCGATTAGATTTGTGAATCTCTCACGCGGATAATTTCTTTACTTGTTTAATGCTCTCAGACTTCTCTCTAAAAAAATTTTTATTCTCACCCGAATCGAGATGCGTTCATGTTTTGTTAAAATTCGATCAGTGGGGATTCGCATATGTGTACGATACACGTATATGTTTCCCTTTGACAGCGGAAGTATTAAAGAACGATCCTTTCGCTGTTCATAGTAAGGCCGTGAGAGCAGCCGTGGTACTTTTACCTTTGTTAGGCATCACCAATGTACTCTTCATGATCGAAGTCCCCTTGGACAACGTGAAAAAATTCGCCCTATGGTCCTACTCCACGCACTTCCTACGGTCGTTTCAGGGTCTTTTCATCGCGATCCTTTACTGTTTCCTTAATGGCGAGGTAAGAAGATGGACATACATTGTTCTCAAAAATCAAAATTTTAAATTCGAAAAATAGGATTCCCGGAAAGTCATAGTACTGAAATCCGAATATTAGGACAATGAGCTACATTACGACACTGCAAATCCAAATGTGTTATTTTTAAACGCACTTGTAACTTGGTTGAATCTCTTGCGTATTTAAATCATACATTTACGTCTTTAATACATTTAAGACGTGTAAATTATAATTTAATATGTTTGAACGTGTCAAATGACGTGACTTAAAACTATAAGAAACGTATAAAAAAAAATTGAACTAAAATAACACATTTAAATTTGCAGTATAGTTGCAGCATGGTCGCGAACAAAAAAGTTATCTGCAATGTTTGGAGTTTGCAAACTTTCCGATTTGTCTAGAGAATTCGTTTTTTGATGTGAGAATTCGCTTTTCAACGAGATAATTCGTTTTCCAACGGGAGAATTCCGTTAGGAATTCCAATAGGAGAATGTTCCCATAAGTTCACAAATTTATTCCCTAAATTACGGACAATGTCTACGACCGTGCGTTTATGTTAAAGTATGTTAATATTATGTTATGTTAAATATATGTATATTACATTAGGTTAATGTTATGTTAAACTAGGATAAACGTGCAGCTATAGGTATATCACATACAGCTACAAGATATATCTTCTCGTAGGTGAGGTTCGCTTTGGACAAAACTATCACCGTTTATCTCTCGCTGAGAGCCGCCGATCTGCAGACTAGGAGACAATCCACCCTCAGCGGCTATCAGTCTCATCGAATAACTTCGGGTGAGTATGAAGCTCAACGTACGGCAAAATTATCTCCAGTGAGAATATTTTGATATCAGTGCATATCTTGACAGCAGATATATCGCCCACGGCTAATAACTTGCTGTCCATGAACATCGCGCCGAGTTCAAATGCTTAGTTCAAACTTAATTTTCTATGTATTTTTACAGAAGAAATATTTAATATTTAATATTTAATATCTCATATTTAATATTTAATATTTAATATTTAATATTTAATATTTAATATTTAATATTTCATAGTAAGTATTTGCTCATGTTGCGGGCTTTATGCGTTACTTGTTAAAGCGTATCATATTTTGCGGATGTGTGGCAACGATAGTAAATGACGTAAATTGACTTGTATAATTTCGAATAACTCTGACAGTCAGGAGTTAAAATAGGGGCTATGAAAGTTCAACACAGGTATATTAGTGCAGTTAAACTACATATAATTAGTGTATGTTAATATATAATTAGTGTATGTTCTCTGCAAGAGGAAAATTATATTTATTAAGAAATCTCGCGGAGGACATACACTAATTATATATTAGTTTAACTGTACTAATACACCTGTGCTGAACTCTCATAGGTTCTATTTTAACTTCTGATTTGTTTCAAAAGAGTTCTTTTGGTTTCTTTTTTATTTGTTAAACTCTGACAGTATTATTAATGAAGATTAGAAGTGTTATTGTAATACATCTTCCAGACGTACTCTTTCTAAAAATCTCATTCAAAATGCTTAACAAGAGATGTTCAAGGATGACTGAATATTTTTATGCTTGTAATTCATAATGTATTTTTTTATATGCTTAAAAATTAATTTCTCCTATTAATTTTATATGACAAGTTTGTAAATGATAAGAAGAAAGACGAAGGAGAATGCAAGTAAGTACGTCATGAGACGTGAGAAATAACAATAGGAGGTTAATTAACGGCGTACTAATTGAATGCTGGTTATACGAATACTTATCATTCGTATTATTGCACGGAAAGAATAACTCCGTTACTGTAACTGAATTTCTCTAGGGATTGGATGAAAAAGTGTTACTTGAAGAAGTTTCTTATAAGAAGTTTCTATTCAGCCAATTGCTTTCAATTATCTCAACCGAGTCTTAATGCAGCTGAATATTCAGTCGAATGTTTTCGATCACTATAACAGAGATATTATTTCAATTTTTTGCCTGGTTCCCATTCTCCAATTACCCGCACTGAAATTTCTTTTTCGTGCAGCATAACGCAAACCAACGTTCCTTGAACATTCGCGATCGATCAACATCATTAACTTACTAATGAACGTAATGCATCTCTCTGTCTTTCCGCGCACCTGATACCATACGATATGATATGCGGCATGAATTTCAATATTAATTAATAACTGATTGCAAAGCAAATCAATACGCTCACCCTGTGATCCTCGTCACTGCGTAATCGCATGAAAATTTTCCATTCACGGCCAAAAACTCTCTTTGGAAATAAAGAGCGCTTCTCGCCCGAGGTATCTTTTTTTTAATATCAGCGGGAATTTAACGAGTCAATAAAGAAGATAACAATATATGAGCGTCACAATAGTGTCATGATAAATTGAATTCCTTCCCTTTCCCGGGTATCGCCACATAGAAGGCAATATTCATGCGCGCCCTAATCGGAAATTCCTTTAGAATAGCTTTCCATGTCGATGTTTGCTTTGATCAAGAGCTATCAGGCGGCTACAGGGGTTGTGACTGATAGTTCATGAAACATGTATATGCATAGTGATCGAGATGGAGAAGGAGGAGACGAGATCCATGGGATTGGTCAGGCTATGCTGCCGCAGCGGGAATACTCCGCCACCGGATCAACGTATAGAGTGAGTAATGATCGAGGAAAAGTCGCTTGCTGGTGCTGTTTCGCAACTTAGGTCGTTATCAGGATCGTCGATCGATCCGTCTCATAAAAGTATCATTTAGGGATAAAACACGCATTCCACATATATATGTGACACGTCGATCAGTCGTTAGTTTTCTCTTTCTCTTTTTCTCCTCCTTGTCTCTTTCTCTCGAGAAAACGCGCTACATTGTTCTTAATCATTATTTCATTTATTTCAATCATAATCATTCATTTCTCATTCACAATCACACATTTTGATAATTTCATTTATTTTTTTATTTCCTGGTGTCATTATTTTTTCTTTTGTTTAATTTCATTAGTTTCCACAAATCGATGATAATTCTAATATAAAAATTGAAATGTCTTGTTTGGGTATTAATGTGTTGTTTCCTAATTATATATTTTCCAATTAAATTTTATATTTTTCACTTACACATCTTATACTTAATATTACTTACACATCATATTCCACAATTTTTCTAAATAATTATTACACTTGTTATATTGTAAAACAATAGGATTGTCTGTCTTTGACGAAGAATGAGGAAATTTATAATACACGCAATGATTAAATAATCCTTAAAAAGTTAAATAATAAGATCAACAGTAGCAAAGATAATGATAATATCACAATAACTAATATTTTATTTTAAAAAACAACGTGAATAAGTTTGGGTAAAATATGTAGAAATTAGATTGGTGCAAGTCACATTATTACACTTCAACAATATATTTATTATATTTGGATAAAAGTTTGTGTTTGTAATATTTTGGCGCGCATTTTGTGTGTAATTATATTTTCTAAATTGACCTACTCGCAAAAATACAATTTTATATCATTCTACGTTGTGTTGCAGAATAGAAGGACAGAGAGATGGGAAGATTGAATGCGCATTTCCTCGAGGTATTTAACTGTACTTGGCTAATATCGCACCTTTTTCCCTTTATAAGTTTTACCTTTACGTCACCTTTATAACGTTATTATCTCATGATTCCATTACCTGTTAACCTTTATAAAATGAATATTTTCAGTAAATGCGTGATATAGTTGATGCGATTCAGATCGAAAAAATTATCACAATCTGTATTTAACAACTTTAATTTCGTTCGTTTATTTTCGCAAAAAAGTTCATTTCTATAAAACCTCACTAATTTTTACGCCTATCATATAAAGCTATGTTTTATTTATTACTGCTTATAAATTAAAATTTTCCTTCATTATAATGCATACGTACTGCTTGTAAATTAAAATTGTTCCTCATTATAATGCGTGACAAAAAATGAGCTTTTTTTTTATGTTTCCAAACGTTGTTTCTATCATAAAGAAGACATTTAATGAATAATTGGAGAATAAATTCTTTCTTTTATATTTCGATTTATAAAACTATAACTTTTCACAGATATGCGAGAGAAACTGGCAAAACGTTGAAATTCTTGAGTTTACATTCAGACTGTAAGAACTTTCAATTTAACATGTCGATGATTTTATGCTTTTTAATATCATTTATTTGATTAATATTTTTCACGAAAGAAATACGGGAAAATTTTTTATCTCAAAAGAATGTTTGCACTTAAAAAATTACCTCACTCGTACTTATTTTGTTTCTGTTCGTGTACGTCCTGCGAATTCGTGTCAGCTTTCCTAGCTTGAAAATCAGCATATTCCTACAGAAAGCATCACTGTTCCACATTTCAGAACGGCCGCCTGACCATATCAATTACTCGAATTCCTCGGAGTCGGATCAACCTCGTGCTAAGATAATTCCTTGGATTGTGGAGGTACCAATGTCACGCTAAGATTATCGACTGGAAGAAACACATTTTCACTCGCGAATAGACACAGTCGACTGGATTACGTCACAATGCGACGGAATTTCCAAATAAGAACGGAGTTTTACGTCATACGCCATACATTAATTAATTTTAAAATTGACGCGTTTTGAGAATATATATATATGAGACAACCGTATAAAATGTCAAGATTATCAAAAAACAGGAGCACTCTCCATCACCTCTTAGCGTGAGGAAAAATGAGATCTCAAGATCTAATACTTTTGTCATCGCTCTGCAAATCAGCAATAACCGAATGTTTTTCAAATGTGAGTTGAATTTTTCTTTTGTTTTGAAATTTTCTTTCCTCTTTAACTAAAACGATACGATATTATCAAAATAATTTAAAGGCTCCTGCAAAGAGATTAATGCGAAGACTCACATTACATTATTTTCTTTTCTTACATGATTAGAGTATGATATTGGTGGGCCTGTTTGGTCGATCTAAAGACTTAACGATATGTAAGATTTACTCTGCATCTTATCGAGACAGTTATTAAATAAATCATATCTCGAATATATATAATCCGCTTGTTAAACAATTACCGATATTGCACCAAGATATTGCAGCGCGATATAACGAATTTTTCTGTAAGTTTCTGTAAGTAACCGTTTCTCGCAAATTGGATATAATCGCTTCCTTAAGTCAGATCTCTTCAATCGAAAGAGGTCTGAGATCGTATACGATCGTATAACTTTTGTCTTTTCGAAAAAAATTGATTGTCGAGGATCGTAAAATGAAAATCCGGCTTGCTAATCGCGAAAGATTTTCTCTACGTCAAAGGAGACGATTTGCAATACACCTTGACCTTTGCCAACGAAATTGCGCGCTCATTGTCTGACGAAAGCCGACGCTTTAACACCAAGAATTGACGGCGCGTGTAAAACGCTCGAGCGTATGCAACGAAAGGCCAAACGGCCAAATTCAAAGACTGCAAAGATGTACAATTAAGAATCTTTGCCGAAAGAGGCTGAGCGTGCTTCTCGTAATCCTTTTACTCGATGTCATTTTTTCACTTCTTCGAAAATGCGAGGCTTGACATGTGTCACGAGTACTCTGCGTGTCGCGAGATATACTCGCCGTTTGCTTTTGTTAAATTGCTACGTCGTTAAAAATGTAAAATCGGGAACTCTCTTCAATACGTCTCACATAGAATATCTCAATTAGTGTCTCTTTCACACTTTGTTCGTGAAAATTTTACTCTCTGTATGTTCTCGAATTACCTCCAACTGCGATTGGATAGTAGATTCGCCGATCTACCTCTGTGAAGTCGTCGTGGACATGAAATTGTGCCGCATTAAAATGTCGCTTTTCCGCTGAGAATCTCATATCTAGTCATGTTATATTGTACTGTGTCTCATATCTAGCAGCTTTGTATATTGTATCCGAACTCGTCGTGTCGGAGAGATTAAATAAGCATTTGCGATTCGTTTTTAAACAGATTTTATTGCGTCACATCACAATATAGAAAAACGCTAGCGCTAGCATACAAAATTCTCTACGAAGGAACACCGAGCTCTATTCTTTATATGGTGTAAGAAACACGAAATGTTGCTCTAAAACGAGAGATTAAGCCTTTGTTCGTCACGGAAATGTTGCGCGCTCCGCATAGACAGTGAGCGATCAAACGTACTTGGATCCTTCATAGGCTTCCGAGGCTCTGTATCAAAACGAGCATATCTTTTACGTTTCACATTTCAACGGAATGCTACTTGATACATCTCCGAACGAGTTCCAACGGAAATATATTCCTGATACATCTCCGAACGAAACATCCGTTTTATCAGATTTGTAAATTTCTCGCAGCATTTTACCTTTCGATTCAAACATACATTCATATTATTGTAATATTACATCACTGTTATAATATCAATATTATTATACAATAACATTGTGTCACATAGTGTTAATATAATCAATATTTTTCTCGCAAAAACTGCGTGTGTACGTGTGATTCCCGTGATATTTTCAAATGGAATCCCCAAAAAGGGAGATTACACATTCCCTTTTAAACTGTCACTCGGAAACTAAGCAACTCTCTTGAATAATTCACGAATGTGTCGCACGGAAAACGCCGAGAGATCGCGATAGAAAACTACGAAAGGACGGATTCACAACCCTTCATCCGTTTTACAGTCGATCGTCCAGCCGGCAAGTATAATTATCGATAATCTCTGACCCTGTAAACGATCTGATCGAGTCTTCATTTACCTAATCGTAAGTTAACGTAACATTAGTCTGCCAACATTATCGTAAATGTATGATAATCGTGTCTATTTAAACGATACTCTACGTCGTAAAGACTATCACAGATATGTTCTAAAAGCCTATAATTCTCACGGTGTGCGCGGTATATCGATCAACGTTTTGTAAAGAAAGTTGACCAGGATCGCTAGTAAATACCCTGCACAAATAGATTGATTAACTGTATTGGTCTGATATTGCCGTTATCGATTGAAAAATCATATTGTCTATTCGGTACAAATATCGCATGACTCATCTGGAGTATTTTTCTGGAGTATTTAAAAATATTTTTGTTGAAATTTCTATCGAAATCGCAACCAGCCGATGTCATTAAGAATTATCCGTTCACATCCGTCTATCTAGAAATCCTCTGTTCATAATGAGGTTGTAATAATTCGCCATTTTCCTCTCTTCGTGCTTGTAATATCGCTGGCCTTCGTGCGAAGAACTATCGAAACTCATCATGGAAACTTTTCTCGGTGTCCACCATTTTGCTGCCGAGGAACAAATCCATCTTGCTGAGGATTTCTGGAAGATCTAGCTTCCCATCTAAATTCGTATCCGAGAGAGTAATTAAGTGTTGGGCTTCTTGGATCGCATGTCTGGGGTTTCGTGGATCGATATACATCTAAAAGAGAACTTTCCTTTTACCAAGAAATTGAACAAAAGTAGTGCTTCATTATTGCGCTTTTGCGTGTTCACGTACTAAAAAGGTATACAGCATTTAATAGATATAGCCATGGTCTTTCCTTTTACCTCATTTAATATTTACGCGATTATATAATGTGCAATAATATGCAATTTTTAAATTAAAACTAATAGCTCGCAAAAATAGCAAGAGCTATCTCTACAATCTATCTCTGTGGTGTTCTTTGCTTAACAAAGAGGCAATTCTTAATACCGCATATTGACGTACGCCTTTATCTGCGTTTATTTAATTATTTACGTTCTAATACTCACCAGAAGCTCGGTTCGATCGGCTTTTCCATTTTTGTTCTTGTCAATCAGGTGTCGAAACTCCTTGCGTCTATCTTCACTACCTCCTATCGACTGCTGCCGATCCTCATGTAAATCCAGGCCGACTCCATCAGATGGCAAATCCGAAAATTCGTCTTCCGTTAACTGTTCGTCACCATCCCGATCTTGGCACATAAGTGGATTGTAATGATACATAATAATAATAACTTTAATAATAAATATTCAAAAAATATTTATATAAATTATATATAAATATATAAATATATAAATATATAAATATAAATATATAAATATTAATATATAAATATAAATATGATATATAAATATTATATAAATATAAATATTATATAAATTATATAAATATTAATATGATATAAAAGCAAAATATTTTAAACACGCATTTAATTTTACCAAATTTTTCGAAAAGATCCTCCACCATTTGCAATAGAGCCCTGTGACTACTCTCAGGGTGAGTAAAGGCCAGAAATTCGTCCAAAGCTAATTTCTCAGGATCATTTCTAGCTGCTTCAGCCCATCGAGCTCTATCCCTCATTATGCTTTCCTTCAGCGTCCGTGACATTTCGCTGTGTTTTTTATCATGGGAATTTATATAATTCTCAGAGAAACCATGAGATCTCAAGAAATATGCGTGATATTCTTCCCAGGATATTTCACCTACGACAAAAAGTAATTAATAGTTTACACCATTACGTTTATTTTAATTTTGCAATTTTCACTTTTTTCGCGGTTACCTTCACGCATATTTGTAAATGTCATTAAATACATGAAAAAAAGTAAAGTAAAATGTTTAATTATTTAAATAATTAATAGATTAATAAATTATTAATTTAGAAGATTATTCTATTCATCTGATTATTTAATAATTAGTCATATTAAAAGGCGAGCGATCGTCAGTCCAATATCTGTATGAAACAAACAAAATTCACATATCATAGCAATAGAATGCGTTTAAATTTGCTGCATGAATATTTAACTTCATCAAGTTAACGCGAAAATAGGACTATTAATTATTCCTCATACTATTAATTATTCTGCATATATCTGATATACATATATACCACAGATGGAAACTGGCCGCTCTACTTTAAAACAGTACTTTTAACTAACCGCGTGGCGGTTATATTGAATTAATGCGCGCATAGCTCTGACATTAAATCAAATAAACATGAAATAATTTTAATTATTTACAAGACTTTAATCGCTTACATTTACAAGACTAGAAGATAACTAGTTGTTTTTATTCAATACCATTTCTAGGATTCCTGTCGATAACAGTGAATAAACCGACGTTCCCTTGCATAGCACGTGTTATATGTTCAGTAATCTTCGCGTGGATCCACTTGGCTAATTCCTGAATATCCAGCAGTTGGTTGTCATCGATATCGGCCATCCGGAAGATATCTTCTAAAAGGGTCCTTGGATTTTCACGGTTTTCCGCCTCCTCAATCTCTCGTATGCTTTCGTCGGCTCTGTGATCGATCCCAGAGTCCTTGTACTTTGTCAAGTCCTTTTTGTCGACCGTCACAGTTTCCAATTCGAAAAATAAGTTGTCCATCATGGAGCTCTTCTTGTCCTTCTCGTTAGTGATCGATAGACTTTTCAGAGGCACGTTTCCATTGTACTTGACGAACAGAAACGAGATGTAAATCACAAGCGGCACCAGGATAGTCCAGCGTAGAAATCGCAGGCAGGTGAAGTCCTGCTTGCAGGCCATTCTCCGTATCTTCCGGAAAAAAAAGCGACTTGATTTTTACAGATTTTATATACAGGGTGTCCGCAATGCACAATGCAGACGTCCGCTCATGTGCAGGTAGAATTATCAAAGCAAAGGTCGCATGTCCTGTACCACTTTGCAAATAACTATGATAATTATTAAGATATTAATTAAAGAAAATTACTAAAGCAAAATTTCATCTAAGATGTCTAAATTTTTTTTATTGACAATCTCTAGACAAGCGGTGCATAATGCTAGGTAGTGAAGGCGTGTAATCTCACGTTGTTCGCAAACTAATATATGACTTTTCTATTCAGTTTGATGAATTTCACCTGCACACAAGTGGACATACGCGTTGTACATCGGATACTCGGTGCATATAAATGATACAGAAACAAATATAGAATTTATACAGAATACAGAAATGATATATAATTTATACAGAAATTATAAATAACCGAGATTACAATAGTGACTATTTATTTGTAGAGAAAAATATATGAAAAATATACACAAGTATAAAGAAAAGAAAAGATACATACATATATATCTCGGTGCATATATAATAAAATGAAATAAAAAATAAAATAATATTTAAATGAAATTTTTTTTATAAGCGCTTAAATGAAACGACAAAATGTGCGAACGACAAATAGCGGCCTGTTTGAAAACTCCGAATAAGCATTTGTAGAGCATAAGTAGAGAACACACCGATGACAATAACAAACAATAGGTAGTGAATTTAACATGTTAAGCCTTTTTATTGCGCTCACTAACAAAGATAAAACAGCAAGAAGCACTGTGCACGCCGGATACCATTTCTTCCGTGAAATGCCGATGTGTCAGCGGCTTTGTTCTTACTCACAAAGTGAGACGGGTACATCTCGGCCGTTCAGCATATATACGGTGACCCGAGGCGCTTTCTAATTCCCTCTTCGTCCTCTCGTCTTTTTCAGCGTTGCGCGCTCGAGGTTTTCAATTTCGCGAACGCCATGCAATGCGATCGACTTATCGCCGGTCTGTCACTATTACACCTGTGAAGCGCATAATCGAGACACTCTTCGACCACCAGTGTTAAGCGGACAGTGTTAATTCGTCCCCCGAGACGCGACATATGACACGCACCACCATGTTTCGCGGCAAAAATGATTACCGGCGGATTAGTGCGTTCTCCGATTGAGGGATGATTTTCAGGCGTCTGTTAATTTCCACGATTGACCTGAATCGTTTCTCAGATCGTCAGCCGACAGAACTTCTAACGCACTGAGCTCCTCGCTCGATGAGACCCACCGGATCGACCGGCTCGCTCTGTCAGACGGTACACGAAATTTGAAAGCCGCGTTTGAAGCCCAAAAATCGATGGTTGCAACTGTCAATAGATGGTCTGTCAACAATAGCTACGAATGCCGCTCTGCGAGTGGACAGGTGCCTTCGCAGTAGAAACGTCTGCACGCTGCTAGACGGGCCGCGCGCTCGTCGCGTATTGATCCACTTTCACTGTCGTGTTCTCCCTCTCTCTGTTTCTCTTTCTCTCTCTCTCTCTCTCTTGCTCTCGCTCTCTCTTCCTCACCGCGGTAACAACGATATTAACGTACACTCACCTCGTACTTAGACATTTGATGAGGTATCGATAATCTTACTTGGTCGATATCTTTTTGTATCTTTTAATAAAAAGAAATACTAGTAAGAAATAATATTTTAATATTAATCGGTATTCTCTCTCTCTCTCTCTTTCTCTCTAATTAGCTGTAAGAAATAATAGACGGAATATCGATAAGGAAATATTTTTAATACTGAAATTCTCAACTATACACACTTGTGAAAAAGCTGAGATGCGCAAGATATATAAAAGACCATTCTGATACAAAGTCTAGTCGTTCCAAACAAAATTGGATTTAGATAATTCTTTTCATACTACTCGTGATATTTAGTGATATTTAAGTTGTAAAATACCTCTGGGATAAGTAACATTATAGTTTCGATTATAGTATCATAAGAATGTCAATAATTTCTTTTTATGCAAGATAAAAAGAAATATTTTGTGAAATAAATAATCGATTACATCGAAAGTATTTTCTTGATGTAACGCATAAAGTATCATTGACATGGATACTATACGTGAATAATTTATACAAATTATATCATATTATCAGTCAGTAAACAATCATCATTCCGGTAATAATATCACTCATGTGTTTCTCTGTAAAACAAATTATTACCATTTGCCATTTCTATCCTCTCAATTAATTCTTTCATATGAGACATTCTCATTTTTCTCTATTAAATATTATTAAATTTCCTGCTATATATATATATATATATATATATATATATATATATATATATATATATATATATATATAAAAGCTTCAACGAACGAGAATCGTTCCTAGAAACAAATATTCTATCGTGTTGTTACTACTATATAATCGTTTCTCGATCGTCACCGTATAAAACACGTGCTAAAAAAGAATTTTATTGATCTCGTAAGTATCATTTAATTCAAGACGTGTATCACAAGTGCACTTTATTACGGCTACTTCACGGCGACATCCTCTCGACAGTTTCTCTCTTCTCGGACTCTTCGAAGAGTCTCGCGAAGATCATTGCGGACTCTTGCTAGTATCCATTTGCACTTGTTGGGGCTTCTCATCCTGTTCCAGGCCCAAATTCACAATACCTTGCATCCGGTTCATGGAGGCGCAAGGTTTTGTCTGTATACGGAACAGGGCAGCAATCGGTGGACTCAAGTAATCTTGGTCGACATCAGCGGGATTCTGAACACCCGTGATGAAGCTCACCGCCACTCCCACCAGCATGGTCAACATGCATCCAATCGCGCTGTACCACAAGTAACTAGTCTGAAAGTCAAGACATTGATTATTCACTGAATAGTGAAAAAAACTCTCGTTCCTCTCGATCTCGCATGAAGAGATGTACAAAATAATTTAATATCATATGTAAAGACAATATAAAAGCAAAACCAAAATACTCACCTTGTATACAGCTAAAACTTCATCATCAGAATGTTTGAATTGCTCAAAGGCGTCTTTTACAGTCTCGTTTATGCAAGGACACTCTTTGATCGATATGGACTTACCGTCCAAATGAATCTGTCCATTTATAGCAGCAACTTGAGCGCCTAATCCGATCCACAAAACGACTATCAAGCTCGTGATAGCACCTACGATTGCCCCTTTAGCATTGGCCCACGGTATAAACATACCCAAGGAGAACAGTCCCAGAGTTACACCACCAACCATGCCATTGAAAGACAATGCAACCTAAGAACGATGATTTGTTAATTAATAACGCAAGTTTAAACTGTTAAACGTAACAGCAGATTTGTAAATTTGGATATTATAAAAAGAGATCTAGATCAGCTTTTAGAACAGAAGGAAAGATACATAAAAGAATTGTCATATAACAGAACTGCATAATGAGATAATTTAAAATTTATGTTACATTTACTGAACGACAATGAACAATTAAACTCGCAAGCGATGTAGCGAAATTCGTGACTTACTTGTAAAACGCTACCAAGTCGTTCAACAACGAAGACTAGTGCAAAGCTAATAACTCCGAAACATATGCTAATCCATCTGGCATAAATGGCGCCTTTACTTGCCGGCATTTCCATGTGGAAGAGCCCGCGAAGAATATCTTCGCAAGTTATCGCCGCTAGAGAATTCAAGGCACTTGCAACTGTTCTGAAATTATTCAAGATACTTTTAAGTTCAATTTATTCTGCTTTAGACAAATTCTATCTTTGCTCACAAAGAATATTTCGTAAGAATGCACCTTCTCTCTCTCTCTCTCTATCTTTCTCTACTTCCAAGTTTCATAAAACACGATGTGTGTGTGTGTAGAAATTTTATTAAAGACAAAAATATTTATATGACCATCATATAACATCAGAAAATTAACAATCTCTATCGTGTACGCAATTAATGATTTTACATAACAAAGATTTTAATCTACTTCGAAAAGATTTACGTCATCTCTTTCACGTCTAGTCTACGTACCCTAGAGAGGCAGCAAAGATTCCAGCCACAAAGAATCCAGGTACACCACGAAGACTTCCCATAAAATTCATTACATATAGTGGTAGCAATTGATCCTGGCTGTTTATGTATCCGGCGGTCAATGGATCGCAGTCTTTGTACGTGCTATACAGCACCATTCCAGTTAGGAAATTTACGCTATAAATTAGAATCATGCCGAAAGCGGACACCCATAGTGCTCTGTAATATGAGAATAAGGTCTTTCTTAAAATATAGAATATTATTCAATCACATCGAGCCGTTACTCGTGAAAAAGTAACGATAAAACAATAAAAGAAAGCAGATTTTTTATTTTTGAAAATGCTGCACCAATGTAACTCAAAAGCACACTAATTCTTATTGCTCAAATCTTTTTTCTTTCTTTTAGATTTAAATTCTATTAGATTTTGCGTTTTACTACTTAATAAATCAGAGGACTCACATTCTCGCTTGCGAGATGGTCTCAACGCTGAGATACTTTTGGACGGACGCTTGGTTGCTGCAGAACATAGTGAGCCAATAGACGGTACCACCGACGACGACACTCCAGAAGCTGTGTCGTACCGTCGGATTAGGATTCATGTTAAAGAACTCTATTCTTCCGGACTTCACGTTGTCCTGCCAAACGAGCTCCATCCCGCCCGCCCAACTCAGTCCATAACCCAGGATGAGGAACAACGAACCGATAAGAACGGCGGCTTGGAACGTGTCGGTCATGATTACGGCTTTCATGCCACCCTATTACGATAACGACAGCATACGTTACATCGTTTAGGTGAGATTCAAGTTATCATGGAAGAAAAGAACTTATTTCTTTCCTTCCATGATAACTTAGCAGAATTTCATTATGCTGGACAAAAAATTATGTTCTTTGATAATAAAAATTCGTTTTATTAGTTAGGCGAGAAGTATGATTAAAATTATTAGATATACGATAGATTATTTAATTATGTGTAAATATCACGAACCTGCGAAGCGTAGAAAATGCAGACTACGTAGACTAGAGTAACGGCTATATAAGTATTCAGGCCCGTGACTATAAATCAAAAAATATCATTTAATTGTTTTAAGATTAACGTGATCTGTCGCGAGTTGATTAACTCAAAGAGATGCTAAGAAATCAACCGTGAGACGCGCTGAACTGTGATAAAAAATAGTTTATTTACAAATGAATCTTCCTATTTCTTAAGATTGAAATATTATAACTCTAAATGACAAAAAAAACAATTAAAAAAGGAATAGGGTGATATAGGACAAAAATTGTTGACCATTTAAATTAGATTAAATTGATGACATATGATATTTTCTACACATTTATACATTCAAAACTAATTAACTTAATGAGTTTATTATTGACATATGATTACTTACCGTGACTTAGCGCTAACGCAGGCGCATACACAGCTACCGACGTGTACAACACCATTTGCAACATGTATAGTGCGCTCGCCAACAATCCGCAACTGCGATTGAAACGCAGATGCAGATATTCGTAGCTCGAAGTCAGTCTTAATTTCATAAACACTGGCAAGTAGAACCAAGAGGTGATCGGCACCACGAGTATGAAAGAGACGCAGATCATCCAGTATTGAGTACCCTGAAAATTTTAATATGATGCATTACGTTGAGTCAATAGTTTGATTCAAATGTTGACTCCTAACAAATACCAATTTTTGTCTCACAGAAAAAGAAAATACAAATTAATGATTCTCACAGGAAAAGAAAATACAAGTCAATGATCTATGTTTCTAAATTAGTTATTAGTAGTAACGAATAGATATTATAGATTAGGCACAATTGTAAAATATTTCGTACGAAGATAAAACGAAAGTTATATATTTGAGAATCAATTTAACATATCTTTTCAGACAGCAAACTACACTGTCTTCAACACGAACGCTGATTATAATGTGAATGTGCGAAATATTATAATTTCAAATCGTACAATCATCGCACCTGTTTGTACATCTCCGCGGGATTTCCCAGAAGTTCAATAGCTGTAATGAAACTGGCGGCCAACGACATCGCGGTGGGAAATGTGCCCATGCTAGACCCGCCCAGCAGAAAGTCCTGGCTGGTCTCCTGCTTTTTGGCGAAGAAGCCATAGAAGGTACCGATTAAGCTCGAGATGATCAGCATCATTGCGAGCACTGTGTAATCCGCCCATGAGAAATAGTAGAGCAAGATCGGATGCTCTTCGTGACACTTCTCCTCGTCGCTCTTAACGTGTCGTTGCTCCGCAGACGACACGGAGAGGAAGAAGAATAGGACAAGAAGATGCGGCCGCATTTCGAATGGAATCTGTCAATAATTTTGCATATTCTGTGTTCATATTCTTCTACGATATCGATTCCGCGATATAAGGCAGATTCGAACAAAAAATTCGCAAGTTCAAAGATGTATACAATTCGACGATTTCAAAGACACTTTAATCGAAATTTAATAATTTTGTTATGAAGATATTTAATGTTCCGCTAGATTTTCGCCTTATAAGTCGATCGAAAGTAATACTCGTGACGCCTTTAATATTTCTTTTACACATGTTATTCATAAAATAATTTTGATATGTGAAGAAAAATTAGTATGTTAAAATAGATTAAAAGTAAATAATAATTGTGACTTTAGTTTGCATAATATAAAGATAAAGTTGTTGACGTAGCGCTTATGCAATGTATTAAACGCTTTATTAAACGCTTATTATGCGCTTATTAAACGTATACTGTATTAAACGTATTTAAATTGCCGTTGCATTTAAATTCACAGACCTATGTATATTCAACTTATATATATTCAACAAATTTATGGCTTATATTTATGTATACTTATGTACTTATGTATACTTATGTATACTTATACATAAATATAAGTATAAGTACAGTACAAGTATACTTATGTATACTTAACTTTACACATGCTTATATTTACGTATATTTACGAAAACGAATTAAAAATTAAATAATAGTTACATTATTATCGCATATTAATAAAATTTATTATGTATATAATAAAGTATTATATAATTAATAAAGTTATTAATAAAGTTTATTATGTATATATAAAATATTATATAATTAATAAAATTTTTAATAAAGTTTATTATGTATATAATAAAATATTATATAATTAATAAAGTTATTAATAAAGTTTATTATGTATATAATAAAGTACTTTGATACACCAATATTCTAATCATCTAATCATAAATAGAAATACTTACTGGCAAAAATTATTAACAAGAAAATATCTGTATTATGCGGCATATATATATATATATATATATATATATATATATATATATATGTGTGTGTGCGTGCGTGCGTGTGTGCGTGCGTGCGTGCGTGCGTGTGTATATGTGTGTGTGTGTGTAATATAGAGACAAACTATCTGGGAAATTATTTAACAATAATTTAACAACGCTTCAACATTACTCCTGTAAATTGATATATAACATCGTCTCAATCGATTCTTTCGTTTGACCAGTCACCTTGAATTTTACTATTTATATCAAAGATATATATTACGATATGCTTAAACATTTTTCTAATTTATTAGTATAGTTTTAATATAATAGATATATGAGAGAAAATGAGAGAGAGAAAGAGAGTTTAAAAATAATTTTATTAATTTTAAGGTACAATTATGAACGTGTAAAAGTGCTAAATTGATTTATTACTGATTATTGTTTCTAATTATAGTTAATTATAAAATTTGTATAAATTAAAAAAAAATGAAAATAACGGAAAAATATAATTTCGATCATTCCCTTCGATTGATAATTTTTAATAATAATTATTTTGTTGCAAGTGATTATAATCACTTGCGACGAACTGTTATATATCAATTGACCTTTCACCATTCACGTTAATTTAAATTTTTATAATCATATAATCCTAATTATAATAATTACCAATCTATATCGGTAACAATATCGTCACTAACGACACTATTTCTCGATCATTATTAAGATACTGTTTTAACTGGTTTGACTATTGGATCTCTGGTTAAAACCGGTTAGTTCTCACGTCAAACTGTACTCTGACTAATACAGAAAACATATGGTAATCTCTCACGTTTCTGTTACAACATTCTTTTGCCAAATTTTTACAACAAATTGAACTATACAGTGATAATATTTTCATCCCCTTGCATTTTATTACATATGTATTAAAGTTGCTTTTAAAAATGTAACAATAATTACTGATTAAATAATGCTTCGCGAGAACAAACATTATATGCAATATTCTAACGTTAAGGCATATAAGTTTTGCTTCTACTTTTTTTACTATCAATAATTATATTTTTTATTATAATATTTTTATATTGCTTACACCATTTCTGAATTCTGTCAATTTTACTCTAAAGGTACAGAATGTCATGATAACAAATACGCGATCGAAATAAATATTATAAATTACATATAAATTACATAGTTAAGCGAATTGTTTACGGTTATATATGTGTAATTGTTTCCAAGTGTTACTCTGAGCATTTTTGTATGCACTGCGAGAAATCGTCACGCAGAGAAAGCTTGGAAAATGTTAATCTGTTAGCGCAATAACTATTTACGATATTGTTGTTACATATATGTACTAAAAAATATATACATATACATGAACATTTAAGCCAAAAATAAATAAATTTAAAAAATGTCATTATAAACTAATTATTTCGCATATGAACCAAAATTTTTTACGCGGCGAAATTCAACGCGAGTCTTCGGAAATAAATCGCTAATTTTATAGATCAACTGATTCTTAATTCGGTAAGGTAAATATCATTTATTTTCAATTTATCTATTTTCTTTTAGGATTAAGAAAGAAGATCTTAAATCTCACCTCTTACCGCCTCTTTCAAAACGTGGAACAGATCACCCACTTTTTCTGGAAGTCTATGTACAAAACGGAAGTTTTAGCGCTTAATAACGCTTAATCGCGAGTACCGACCGATAGGAACGTGCGAAATTGCAGTTGAATGATTTTACTCGTTTTCCTAACGTAACGCATATATGATCGGCTGATAGCTTCCTTCGACCGAAACCTCGCCCTCCTGCGAGTCTGCTTGTTTTGTTTAATAGGACCCGCGGTCTTCGTAATCGCGAGACCGTAAATCTCGAGATTTTGTCACAGAACGCGAGCTCACGATTGCAATATCCGCTTTCCGGCTTCCGCCGTGAAGGGACTCAGAACGACAGATTAAACGGAGTACGGATTCGAGACTGATCGTGTTAATTGTCACGTGTGCGCCTTTATACGAACCATCCCCCTACTACTACGTTTGACCAGTTTCAATATAAGAGGAACTCATCAAAACAGTAATAATAATCGTCGTCATCGTAGCACGTCGACGATAATAATTGACCACTTATTATTCCTGCAATTTTTATATAATATTTTCCAACATAATCACACAATAATTATTATAAATGACTACACAGATTTGAAATTGGAGTAGAATACGATGAGGAAACACTGTATAAATAACAAACAGAGTCTCTTAAATAACTCAAGTGATTTCCTTCTTCAGCGGATATACCTGATTTTTTTAATCTGTCGCGCATAATTTATCTTGCGTGACGAAAAATATACAAAAGATACAAAAAATGCCTGTCCTCGATTACATCCTGTACGCACTGGCTCCTAATGCATTCAAAACCGCTAATAAATTATGTTCTGGACATAATTATGAGCCGAAATTATGAGCAGGAAATATTTTGATAAGATTATAATAAAATAATAATGTGCGCAAAAAAATAATAATAATGCAAAAATAATGATATACATTATTATAAAATTAAATTTTTAATTTGCCTTATTGATGCTTGAAAAGCAGTTTATTCAGTTTTGCGTCATTCTTTTATATTTCATATCTTATCTTATATCTCAATTTTTTCGTTATCAGTTATTTAATAATGCAATAAAAAAATATGCATAATTTCTAATTTTTTAATTAATACACTCTTTCATTGCGAGTGAGTTTTATGTAAAAACTATTTAAGTGTCACAAACAAAGTTTCCCGAAACAAATGTACGAATAATATTTTGACAATTTCGTCTATACTTGTTTCTCCAACCATACTGGTTGGTTGGCGTTTGTAATTTTAGATTGTTTGAATTTTTTAGACTAGTGTTTGAATTTTAGATTGACACAAGAGGAAATATTCTTCTCTTCTTTTTCATAAAGTTCCTTTTTTATTATATTGGTAATGTTCGAACGTTATCGTGATTTTTGATAGACACAGTAAATATGTTAATTCACATTCTCGCATGATGTCTTTACATTTGACATACGTTTGTCTGTGTCAATTCTTTGTATTAATCCGTATTAGTGATCACGAGAAATATATATATACGGAAAATATATCAATTTAATTTATCTGATCATTTATTTCACCACTGTTCGAACCGTGCGGCGTTTATATCAGATAATAAATATCGCGCTTTTAATATCACTCTCCCAGACGTTACGTCCTAATTTTCAATATTTTATATAATTTCTGTTTTTGCAAAACATTGATCCACGATGTAAGCTCGAGAAACCGATGGCGTATGTCCAATGTAATTCACAACACGTGCGAAAAACATGTCAAGTGTCCAGATAAGTCCACATCTAACCGGTTACGGTTTACAGGATGGTAAACAAACCTAGGTAGACAGGAGATTTCTACCAGATATAAGGATATACGTCATTCTCATTTAAATTGCAGAAATCGATTAAGACAATAATCTTGAGCTTACAGTGATATTGAACTGATTATTGATAAGGTGACCTGATAGTATCAATATTTGTTGCGTTTGTGTGCGTGAAAAGCACAAATATAAGAAGGCATGAGAAAAACTAATTAGGCATTAATTCGTTTATATATATAAATTCATTCTAAAAAAATCTTTAGAGACCAATTTTCGCGCGATTTACTTAATACAAGTATACCATCAGTTTTTGGACACATCGAAAAAGTCAAATCTTCTTAATTGCTGGTTGAAACTTTCTGTTATTTCGTAGCAAAAGAGCGCAACTTCCAAGACACTAAGTATAGTCAGTTGCCGCCAGATATAACCAGATAACATCAAATAAAATCCTCGAAGAATAGTAAAGCATTTTAATGCGATCAATTTATATGCATACGGTAAACCACTTACGACTTAAATTGCAGCGCATTTTGACTTAATTGTCGTTTTAACTGTCATGTTTTCGACGTTGAATATTTCCGTGAATTTCTCAAGATGAATTGAGGTAAAGTCCATATTCGACGCAAATATGAAGAAAAAAGTAACAGTTCTTTGCATACTAATGCAGTGAAATCCCTTTAAGTGATATACTCTTTGAACACGCGATAATTATGTAAGTAACACGTAAAGATATATAAGAGAGACTGCTCGATTTCTCTCTATTTCATTTTAATCATAGATCCTGCACGAGTTCAAAGACGGAAATTGCTAACACAAAAATGCAATTCTTGAAGTCAATAATCGAGAAATATTTAAAAAGTAAAACCGACGTTAAATTTTTCTCAAAAGTAAATAACTTCGCTTCAAAAAATAATAAGCGCCCAAGTTTCTCCAAGAATCTGCTATTTTATCTAATATAACGAGAAGAAAAATATTTTTCAATCTTTAATTATTATTATTACCTATATATATATATTACCTTTTATTTATACGAATCTCAACAGAGTGCACCTTAACCTCCAGAAATATTAATCACAAAATATTGCACAAATATCACAAAACCATGAAATATTTATTTAAAAGACACAATAACAAGTTGTTCTTGATCAAAATTGTCGTGACGAATCATGTCGCGTGAACTAAAATGCTTCTTCATTCGTTTGGGCCTAATAAATAACACATTACACAAGAAGATATATCACACTGACACATCGAAGATAGACAAATTCAATGTATTGTTTTTGATTTCGTATCTTACTATCTAAGATCTCGTATCTATTATGGTCTCATATCTACTATGAAACAGGAGATAATTTCGAGTTAAAATTTCGTATATTCTATCTGTATATTTCAGATATTTCTTTATAGTTTTCGGCATGTGCCATCGATGCCATCGATGATGTCGTCTGATTCACAATCTGAAATAACACTGTATATGTTTCTGTTTATGTGTCCTAGTTAATACTTAAAATGAAAGTTACACTTAACGTTATATTGTCGTATAACATACGATCAGAATGCTATTTAAGAGCTGTTTCTATGAAATTAGTTATCTACATTAGTATCACTAATGTGAGAAATATACAAACACATCCTGACACATCAAACGTAAATATAATAGCAAAAAAGATATAAATAATAATTGTAATAAGAAATCATTATTTAGACAACAATACAATCGCGACATTTTTGGAAATTAAATGGAAACTCGATTTAAAGAAATTATGAGAGTATCATGCTATAATAGAGAGTATATGGTATATATATGAATACAGAGAATGTTTGTTATGCTATATACCCAATAAACACAGACATAACTGCTATATAACATATATATAACATGGACGTATGTTACGTCTATGTTATATGCTGTTATATTCTGTGTTTGCTGGGTATGAGAGTATACTTGCCGCTTATGCTTATAAATATTGCAAATTACCCATCAAATAAAGTAGAACAAGAATTTGACAAATGATTGTAGAGAAAATTCAATTTGAAGAATAAACAATAGCGTGTTTATCTTACATCGATATCCTACGAATAAAAATTGCAACAGATTATCTTTGTTCCTGGCATGTCGATTAATGCCGAGCGTTAATTTTAAAATTAATAGACTTTGCATCACACACTTTCTATTTGTTAGTTTTTCGAAACAATAGTCGGATTAGATATGAAGTTGGACAAGTTCTTACAAAATCTATATAAACTATAAGTCTCTTCCCGTTTGTCGTAAATCACAAGATTATGATAGAATTGTATCATAAATTATGAGAGACCTCGAAACAGAGGACGTGTCTACGTTAATACATGTTTAAGGAAGTGAATCATCGCGCGACATATTATTGAGACATTTGATTCCGACGAAGACGAAGAGCGGCATCAGTTGATGCAGACTCCGTTGATGATTTAATTGGACATTAATGAACGTCACCCGGTCCAAGGAGAAATTGCACGTGTCGGCACGCTGTGCTTTATATGTCGACACGTTTTAGTGGAAATATAACTAAAAAGGGTCCATACAGCCCCGTCGATCGGCGGTCCAGCGGACACGCATAAATTGAAACTGGTTTCAACTGGTCGACGTTGGTTCAATCTGGCGTGTCAATCCGAACGAACTAAAAGCTTTCCGCGGCTACCTTCGTTTCTTCCCCACTACTATCTCATATGTCTCATCTTTTCAGATAAGGTCAGGTTGCATTTTTATCATTCTGTCGGAGAAAACTTGGAGAACGTCTTTAATAGATGGTTGAGCCTAGTATGACGCTCAGACCACGAATAGAAAAAAAAAAATCGAAAAGAATAGGAAAAGAGAAACCTCTTTCATTTTTATCAAGAAATACAGTCGAACTGTTTCTCTTACAATTATAGATTAGATAATAAGGTTGAAATACCAAAGTGTAAAGATAATTTCTGCCTACAAAGTACCTTGGGATTTCTAGTGAGCAGGAGAAAGTTCTAAGCGCAAATTTACAACAATCCAAGGAAATTCGTTCTTAAACATTAAAATCATCATTTCTGTTATAAGTTCAAATGATTACTCAGAATTCTAAATGCGAAATACTAATCGCACGAAATACGACGTATCTTCCCGGTAATCACATATTATAACGATTACATCACATCTCGAGGACTATTCATATTTTAATGAAGTGTTATTATGATAAATAACGCCGATTATCGTCGCTAAATATAGCGCAAAATTCTACTGCGTAGAATAATAATGCATAATAATGAAACGACATCGTGAAATAGCAAAGACAATTTATTCACTAAACATTACATTCGCGCTAGAGAAGCCGCAAGTACACACAAATGAACTTGTCTTGTACATGCCTTTAAGTACAACACAGTATTGTGTTACGTCTCTTATAAATTTTCACACTAAATATATTAATAGCCCCACCAATACCATATATACTTAATAAAAAATTTTGTAGGAACCTTCATAGGAAAATTCGTAAATAAAGTCTCTAATTTCTAAATTTGTTTGCAAGATCGTAATACATTTAAGTTCTTAAATGCAGATAACAGCAACAAGTACAGTGGACGTCATGTTATTAAAATAGTCAAATTTTTAGTAAAAACTTTGACTAAGTCAAATGTCTAATTCAAACATGCTAAACAGTCTCACTTATAGAAAATTGAATAACGTTTCAATCTTTTCTCTCTATAAATTCAATTATTATAGTTACTAGTTGTATGCGTTACTAATGTAACATATACGCTTTATACCTACTTTTTCACTAGCTTATAATCGTAAGTATCGTCCAGAATCCTAAGGAGGTAGATTTCTTTCAAGTACATAATTATAGATATTTAATACACAAAAACTCATTATTGAAATACTACGCGTGTACAGATATGTCTCACTGAGAAATTTACGTACAAAGTGCATAACATTCCCGGAAAAAATGTACGCATTTCGTACAAACTATTAATCAGACAGTTTAAACTGGCAGTACGAACGCAGTGTGGAAGACGTTTGTGATAAAATTATTTAGCTTAAAAAATGTATTAGAAATAATGTTTAAAAAACTAATGCAATATTGCGGAAAATTGTATACACAAATCCGAGTTATCTATGAGAATTATCTATAAATATACTCTAATATACTTTAAGATCGTGAATAAAACAATTCGCTACAAGTCTTTTTCCAATATTGTCCGTTACCTCGCCACATTCAGATTCATTTAGGTCCCATGAAGTAGCAATATACTATTTTTTCTATAAATTGTCTAAAAAAAATATTGAGTTAGATAAAAAGTTCGATTCGAGTTTTAGTCAAATTTAACTTCACCGAATATGTCTAAATACTCTACGGAATGTCTAGCATCTACTATCCTAAATTTAAAAAAAATTAAAAAAACTATCCGTTAAAGTTTTGCGACAAGTTCGAAATTGTCGTCCTCATAATTTCCGTCGTTTGAAGAATTCATCCTCTTCATCACATAATTTGTCGTTTCGTTGCTTGCTACATCGCCACGTTGTCTGGCACGTATCCTTCTCGACACGACAGGAAAGAATAAATCAGGATCTAAGTCGTCATTGTGGTGTTTAGAGAATAAACGAGTCACGTTGCTGACAATCAGACCCAGTACCAACGTTATTACGAGTCCTAAAGGACAGTACCACATATATGAAATGCGGTACAAATAAAAATACGAGCTGTCATCAATATTTCTGAAAAGAGAAAAAATGTAACAAGTTATTAAATAGTGATACATCCTGCGCATAATGTACGTAGTGTACGGCATGTTTATTCAGCGACACTCACCCGGGCAGTTCTGTCGTCGACATTGTTATGTTTTCTAAAACTGTCGTATTCATAAAATCATTCGCGATGCAGCCTTCGATGGACCTCGGTAATATGGGAGGCATCGGTCGCGGTTGTCCGAAAGCTATCCAGAATACAAACGCGAGCGAAGTTAAACCACCGACAAGAGCACCACTTTCTGTCGCCGATTCCGTGCCCATACCAAGCGTGAAGACGCCTAATAATGGTCCACCAACCACTCCAAAAATGGTCAAACCAGCCTGTGTGACCGAAGAAAACTCGTTACTGACATAAATCAACTTATTTACACGTGATATTAAAATAAACTGGACTCATTGTAACAATCTTACTTTACTCTTACTATTTCCATAACGCTCGTTTTTTTTTTATTTTATTGATACTTACTTGGAGAATTCCGCCCAGTAGTTGCGCTAAAAATGCCAGAGCTATGGAAATAACGCCGAACGTAAGAACGAGCAGTTTAGCTATAGCAGTTGATCTCGCGGGGGTAATCTCGCGTTTGAGGAACTTGCTGAATATAGGTTTCACGTAATCCTCAAACGTCACCGCAGCCAGAGAATTCAAAGCTGCTGAAATCGAACTGAGGCCACCACTGAAAATACCTGAAAAATACGTAGAATGTGTTAAGAGAAAATTACTGTTGCATTGATGCAGAAACATTACCTGCAATGAAAAGGCCTGGCAAGCCGGGTAGGTCGGACATTGTGTCCATAACATACAATGGCATAAGCATATCAGGTGTAGTAATTCTCTTCTGCAGACTTGGATCGCAATTATAGTATTTACTATATATTGCTAATCCTGAGAAGCAGGTTGACATTGACAGCATTGTCAGAATAGGCCATGATAACCATAAAGCTTTTCGCGAAGTCTTTATATTTCTGAAAAAAAAAAGTTCTTTTAATTTAATTTCTTATAATTAGCACAAACATAACATTAACAGAATAATAGCAATAAAAATAATTAAATTTATTTACTTAAATAAAGCAAATAAAGTATTTCATGGGTATTATATTACCGTCTTTTACACGCAATAAAACAAGACAAATAAAAAAATAATAAAACATATTAATAATAATAGCACAATGTCTACAAAAATTGTCCACAATTATTAACTGTATTCTTCTCTTTCTTATATATATATATATATATATATATATATATCTTATAAAAAATTATAATATAATTATTTATATATAATAGTATGTGTTATATGTAACATATATTAGTAATTATATCATCAAAAATAATTAAATCTATTTTATTCCTAGCGTGCAAATATACAGATATTTCTAAATTGGCTTTATATATATATATATATATATATATATATATATATATATATATATATATATATATATATATACTGTTGTATAAATGTCTATTCAAATAATACATAGTGAAATGCTCATAAAATATTGTAAATGCACAAAAAAATCCGGTTTTAATCCGAAAGACAAATAAGCTAATAATACAATGTAAACTTACTTCACGGTTAACATACGCTGTATTTGAACTTGATTTACACCATAAAGCGACAAAAAGGTACACAAACCACCGATAACGAGGGACCACCAAGTGTGACGAACTGTCGGATCCAGAGAAAAACTGATACACAAAAAATAGAATAAGATATCAGTATAAAATAAATGCCCAAATTCGTGCAGCTGATAGATGAGATAAATACAATTACCTATCAAACTCGATTCGTTGTCCACGTTTTGCAATCTCCCATATTTGCCACAAGCTTCCCGTGTCTCTTACAGCTATGCCGATAACAGTAAACACAGCGGCGAACATAAGTAAGGCTTGAAATACATCGGTTATTAGTACAGCCTTAATACCGCCTATAGTTGAATAAAAGGCACAGATGACACCGATAATAATGATACTGGTATTCTTCGGAATTCCGGTAGTCGCTTCCAAAGCTAAAGAAGGGGCATAAAGCACCACTCCTGAGTACAAAAGCAGTTGAATCCAGTAAACAAAACTAGCCATCATCCTAGTTCTTACTCCGAAACGCTTTTCTAAATACTAAAACGTATATAATATCTTCAAATATGTATTATCGGCATCTGTAAGCGGTTATAAACGATATTTTTCATTATAATGTAACGACTTACCTCGTAAGCACTAGTCGCTTGCAATTTGAAAAATACTGGTAAAAATCCGTAGCATATCATCACTGTTCCTATTAAATATGATACGTTTATTACCACAAACTGCGTCCCGAAAGTGTAATTTTCGGCGGATACGCCAAGCAATGTAATGGCAGACATGAAAGATACTACCAAAGCAATGGCGACTGGTATAATACTCATTGATCGATCCGCAATGAAGTATTCCTGTGCAAATAATGATATATTGTTGTAAAAGACATAGTGAGAAAGAGGACGTTCCTTTAAAGTATTTATAAAAGTACATAAAAGAATGATTTAATTATGTTAAGTAACTATATTAAATAACAACGTACCTCCATGGTTTTTTGGCGACCTCCGCTGAATTTGTAATAAATACCAATTCCTACGCTTATACCCAACATAATCACTATGACGAGGTAGTCAACCCATTGTAAGGTATTTATTTCCGCCATGGTGGTCTGAAGTTTCTAATCCAGAATATAGTTTCAAAGAGTCTTAGTTAAAAATTAGCGGAGTTATACATTTGCAGTTTTGTAATATAACTTTGGATTTTATATAAGTAATTCTCAATAACTTCAGATCTAAGATAATGGCTTAAATAAAAATATATTTACTTTTTATTTTAAGGAGTATATTATTCAGAGGAACCGTTAAAATTTAATTCTTCCCGTATGTAGCCCTGGAATGTTACAGGGATAAGATGAAATAATGAAGTTATTGCAACATCCGATGTTCAAACTTATTAATGCGCTTCATGTCCTAAGAATCTGTAAAAAACTCGTTGACCAATATTTATGTCTATCAAAACCACTGTCAGCAAAATTTTTCATTAAAAGTGCGATGTCACCCTGGCAAAAATAAAAATTGGAGAGTAAATAAAGTGTAAACAAGAAGTATAAGTGAAGTGCTTACAAAGCGTAAATTGAAATATCGGAACGTAAAGCAAACGTATTTAATATCTTAACCTAATCTAACCCGCTTGCTTTACATTCCAATGCTTCAATTTTCGCTTTGTAAGCGCTTCATTTACACTTCCGCCACTCTTTGTTTACATTTTATTTACTCTCTAATTTCTATTTTTGCCAGGACACGTGTGAAATCGCATGTCAAGGTGAATACGCTTGCGATTTCAAAGTCCGAGCGAAATCAAAAAAACAATATAATTATCGCAGATCTGATCATTTTTCGCGACAATATGTTGCCTAAATTTGTTTTTATCTTTTTTTCAGTTGACTTAAAATTTCTTCCGATGACCATCTCAGCCAGAAATAATTCGTCGATCAATGTCGAGACGAATCGATGTCGAATCGACGTCGATTTCACGATTTCGATCTTTTTTTGACATCGTTTCGACATCGATCAACAAATCAATTCTGGCTGGGATAATATATGATCAAATATTGCGATCACGCATTAACTCATCCATTAATCTAAAATCTGTTTTTCTTTCGTCCATATTTTTAGGCAGGTAGCAGAAGTTTTTAAAAGACGTCTTGATATATCGTCTTAGAAAGGGTCTTTAGACAGGGTCTTACCTTTTCAGCCGTCTTCTAGAAACTTATGTTACCTGTCTTACTTTCGTTACGTTCAACTTATATTTATCACTATCCTTTTACCCTTACAATGTCGATATCTATCTTTTAAAGGATCCTAATCTTATCCGGTTTTTGTCTGACTGAATTCGAACTTAAACAATTCCTTACTCAATTCCTAGAAAAAAAAATTAGAAGGACGCTCGCTTGAAAGTATCCACCATTTTTTTTAACCGAAACTATTCAGGAATATATTTTTAAAATGATGAACTTTGAAATTGCACAACTTGCGCAAAAAACTAGATTTTCTGATTCCGCTAAATGGATATATCTCCTTAAATATTTAAGTAATATTTATCTTCTTAAAGTAATTTTAGTAAATAATCCTTAAAGTAATACATCTCCGTAAAGTAAAATTATTCGTTGAGCTGAATAATCTACACAATAGAATCGCAAAAAAAATTATAGATACAAAAAGGTGCCATATATTTTTTTTAATTATTAGTGCTCAAATTCAAACTTATTATCTATATTCAAATATAAAACTTTAAATCTAATTTGCACAAGACGATATATTTGAAAATAGCATGAACAATATTCCGGAAAAAAGCGATCTGACCGATGTAAAATGTTTTGTAAAATTTAAGTATCTGTGATTAAATAAAATAATACTTGGAAGTAGAATGCTGTGCAATAGAACTTACTTTGTAATATTCTAATATATTAAATAAGAAAGATCCTTTTATAAATATTTATAAATTTCGACTATTCGTTTATAATATTTTATTTATCGTTTGTAATATTCGTTTATAATATAGTTAATAATTTATTGCATATAACGATCACGTGACGCTCATTTATAAGCTCAATACTGCCTACAAAAGGAGAACGACAATTTTATCGGAATTCTAATTATAGTAGAAAAAAAGTGGTTTAGTTATCTGCTAAATTGTTGACTCGGTTAATTTGGTGCAAATTTCTTTATTTGAAGAAGCGATATCTCTACATGCAAGATCGAGACTTTGATTCTCGCGTTGTAATATTTCGAGTCTTCTTGTAAGGCCCGATCTATAATAGATGGAGTAAGGAGTAGGAGTAGGAGTAAGACGAAATGGAAATAATTATTTTGCTTACTTCTTTACTCCAATAAAAGTTTGCCCGTATACATCACATGAAGTAAGCCTGAATTAAATAGTAAGAGCTGAAGTAAGGAGCTGGTAAGAGAGTAAGCGAAATAAATTATTTCCATTTCGTCTTACTCTTACTCCTACTCCTTACTCCATCTATTGTAGATCAGGCCTAACGATAAACGTATTTACACGACGTTTTTGCGAATGTTAAAAAATATTAGCATTATAATTAGCACATCGCGCACATGCCGTACTCATCGTATTCGAGACCGCGAGCTATTTACAAATATCGCGATGCGTATCACGCAATGAGATAATTACATTTTATGACATAAAATATTGAAGAAATTTATTGTAAGGTATTTATTTCCGCTATGGTGGTCTGAAATTTTCAATCCAGGATGTCAGAGAGTTTTAAAGCGTCTCAATTAAAAATTAGCGGAGTTATACATTCGCAGTGTACATACATCGCGCCTGGTGTCCATGCAGTTCGTCCTTCAATTGTATCGACTTCGATTGCATCGACTTCGATTGCTCAGACGAGGTGTTACGTAAAACTGTCAATCATTGATCGCGCGGAGAAGCGCGACGTTCCGTATTTCGAAGCAGAGTCACCATATCGACCAAGAATACCACAGATGTTTTGTATTTCGTAAACGCGTATATAAGAACTACTTACACTAATATTATACACACACACACATATATACACGCAACTGACTTACTGCTCGAAGAAGTTGCAGCTCCACTGCTGATGATTTATCTAGCTACTACTGTGCAATGCAACACGCAAAAGTAACACAGATTTGTCTTTCTTAGCAACACGATAGCTTGCGTACGCTCCTCATGGTCGATCGTTTCTACTCCTAAGCATGAAATTCTCGAGCCTGCTCGGGTCTCACACACACACATACAAACTGGAAATGACCACGTGAGGATGCGCGCGCAGTATGACCAGGAACGGCTGAATACCATTTGACTTGACACCAACTTTTATCGAATATTTCTGGAGTCATAGAAGATCTACGCAACTTCAGACAAATTTAGAAACGCTTCATTGATATCAAAATATTTGCAGTGAAATGATTAAAATTGTACCGTCTTTTGTGTATGCCTCTGGCTCTTACATTTTAGGGTTGCTTGCAACAACATTTTATATACCACGTTGTCTAAAGGTCCCCTTACAATACCTGCAGATGATTTTAAAACTAATTTTGAAACTAATAAAAATGTAATAAGGAAAGATAAGAACTTTTAAGAGCGCCTTTTAAAAAATGATTATAAGTATGAATTATAATATAGTGATATGTTAAAATGAATATTACGTAAAAATGATAGGATAATATCATGATAGGATATCGAATAATAGGATATAAAAAAAAACATTGTATTTCTGGACTCACCAAATAAAAGTGCTCCAAACGAAGACTTTAATAGCGATTTCAAATAATCACATTTACCATCTGAAAGATCTAATAAGTGATTTATAATATGCTCTTTGGTACGCTACAAAGAGAAAACGTATGTTCTCTATTCAATATTTATATACTGTAGTTAGTCGATGTGTATGTAACGATAACGCAAGTCTGCCACTTCGCAGACGGAAGGGCAACGCGGAAGGTATATACATACGTGATATATATTTATAAAGTGATACATTTAAAAGACCCATTATTTAAGACAACAATGCATTTAAAGAAGATAATTTACATAATTAAATTTTATAAATGCGCACCGGTGTTTGGAAAAATTCAAAGGCTATGGAAAAATCGCTATGGATGTTCTCGGGAAACATGTAAATATAGTTCAACCTAATCTGAAATGTCTCTTCGTGAATGCTTAATTGCTTGCTCAATTTCTCCTTTGTGTAACATATACATACGAGTTACATATATTAATGTTATAATTACATATATTAACGTTATAATTTTTAGAATTACATAAAACCTTCCTTAGAAGGCAAATATGCTAGCAATATTTTCTTCGTTTCCGAGCACCTTTGAAAAAATACAGTCCACCGCGCAAATTTATACTAAGGAGAACTGAAAAGATTAGCTCTCTAATAAATCACGAAGGACCTGCACAAAAAGATACTTTTGAATTACTTCTGTCATTGTGTCGGATACAATGGCTGCGTTCAGCAGAGAAAGCTGCTTTGCAACTGTTGTAAAATTCGTGAATCTGATTGGTACATGCTCTTGGATTAAACTAAAATTAAGAACATACTCCAATCAGATTCACGAATTTTACAACAGTTGCAAAGCAATTTTCTTTGCTGAACGCAACCAATGTTCAGAAAAATCCATCGATCCTCGCAACGGCTAGCCTTGGGTTGTATCATCGAATTCCATCCTGCGCATTGCAGCCTATAAATGCTGCATGTTGAACTACTATCTTATCCGCAGTAATTGAAGTTCAGATAGGAGTAGGATATCTTTGAAATAAATAAGTATAATATTAGACAAGATAATATAGAGAATATAGAGCCACGTAGAAATATCAAGAATAAGACTTGCAGAATGAAAGTAAATAAATTAAATATAAATATGAAAGTAAAATAAATAAAGTAAATTAAATCCATTGAGTAAATAGAGTAAAGTAAAAATAAGATTTTTTTAACCTAAAGAGACATGAGGCTTCAAGTGATGCTTGTAACTCCATTTTTCCAAATTTTAAACATTTATTTTTTTTTAACTCGGACAAGATGCGATAGAAAAAATTAATGCACTAAGAGAAATTATCGGATAAAAAATTAACAAACGGATATTTCCGATCAAATTCCGTCCAATTTTCATATTCGATCAGCATATCCGATTAAATTTAATCGGATATTTTCGATCATAACGATATTTCATCAGATAAACCAATAAAAAATTTATGATATTTCTCATCGGATATAAAAATTTATCGATATTTTGACCGGAAATATCCGTTTGTTAATTTTTTATCGGGTAATTTCTCTCAGTGTGTAAGCAAAAATTTGATTAGAATTAACTCTAAACTAATTCTAAACTGGAATGAACTTTTAAATACAATGACCCACTACGAGGCTATCGTGACGACGTTCCTGTGCTGTCCTGTACTAGGGAGATCTGGGGTAAAGCAAGGAGTAATCGAAGAGGGACTTTCGAAGTCTCCCCAACGGCCACACTGCGAGCGCGTGCGGATTCTGCGTGGCGTATAGAAAAGCAGTCTTCATGTCCGGAGCAGCTCCTGTCAAAAGCGCTATTGATAGACCACCGCTGATGCTGCTGGCGGAATTGGCGGACGCGCGAACTCTTCCGTTAGTGTGTAGTTAATTAAAGGTTTCCAGTATTTCGCCAGTAATTTAAGGCAGCTCGCGGGAGCGGTCTGCCGCGACAGCATCGTGTGTATTGGATTTCCTCGACGGTAAGTGGAACCCCGCCGCCTCTCCAAGTCGAGTTACGTCGAGTTGCGCACGCTGTAACTCGTAGCGCACGAACGTCGATTTATTTTGTTTCTTTTCTTTTCAAATCCACTTTCGGAACATTTGACATACGAGGTGTTAGGCGAGCGCAAAAATTCGACCCGCGCGTCGCGCTATCACTCCAGCGCATACATAATAATTCGGAATTAATGTGACACGAGACTAAAGGTCGGACGCATTAGTCTCGTGATGCATGACGAACATGCGAGTTATTTTCATTCCCTCGCGATATTGTCACACAACCGTGAGTCTCGGCGGGAATTCCGCGCAGAAACGCGTTCTTCCTCGCGTCACGATCAACGACGACGGAGTGTTCAGTCAGCTTAGTGTTTTTAATCGGAAAAATGTGTGGTCTATTTCTCCAACATAACCTGTAAATTGCAAAGTATAAAGTGTTCTGTGACTGACACGTTTGTTTGAGTGAATTTTTAGCGGCGCATTCCTTAAATAATAATTCAGGCAAATGAGATAATAAAAACCTCATGTCCTTTTAGGTTAAGAAAATCTTATTTTTACTTTACTCTATTTACTTTATTTATTTTACTTTACTTACTTTCATATTTATATTTAATTTATTTACTTTCATTCTACAAGTCTCATTCTTGATGTTCCTACGTGACTCTGTGTGCTTTTCTAAGTAAATATTATACTTATCCATTTCAAAGATATTCTACTCTAATATTCTATCTGAACTCCAATTATTACAGATAAGATAATAGTTCAACATAATAGTGAAGATAGTAGTAAACACGATAACACTCCCTCCAAGACCTTTCGTTTCAATTCAAAGATAGAAACGTAAATACGTTATACATAACACAAATATCTAAATATATTTTAGATGTGCTTAAAAGAATTTACTATCTTAAATGAGATAATAAGACATGCTTCAGACGTCTTTAAGACATCTTTTAGGAATTTGTGCAGTCTACGATAGAACAAACTGTCATTTAAAGTTGGGATTAATAAAATTATGAAAAATAAGATGATAATACAGTGAAAAATAAGATATAATACAGTGTAATTAAATTAATTATAAAAAATGGAATAATGCAGTGTCATAATTGAAGTTTCAATTCTATTCCATCCCAATTTCTCTAGGTCGTTATATAAGACATTGAGAAGGAACAGGGCGAGACCAATTTACATAGCTTGGCCGCGAGATTGACGATTTGCGTGTTCGCGGTGATTTGCGAATGTGAGAGTATGTGTTCGAGCGCGTCATCGATAAGTCGATGGCATTTTATATGACGTGGTTCACACAGATTAATACTGTTATAGGATGTCAATGTCCGTTATGACGTGACGGCCGAGCTCGAGGTCAATCGAGTCAATTGATATTGCAGTCTTAAAAGGAATAAATTTCCCCAGCGACACGAACGTGAATTAAAATGCATGATTAAATAATCTCGGGTGGCACACGCTTCATCATAAAACTTCAGAATCTCGGAAAATTTCTTAACTTTCTTGATATATATCTTGAATAATCGATTTTTAAACAGCGCGCTCTACTTTAAAGCCGATTTCCAGTAAAAATAGCTGAAAAGGATAATTTTTCCTTCTTTTTATTCAAGCTATACAACATTTTGTGTAATGATTTATGTAAAATTTCTCGCTTCTATTATGTTGTATCTTAACAACGAATCAACAACAAGGATTCGTTGTATCTTAACAACGAATCCTTTGTCTAATTTACCAATTGATCAATTGAACGTGCTGTAGCAATTTTCTGAAGAAAATATAAAGTTACAGCTCGCGACTGGCAGATGTTCCATAAGGTACACATATAAAGTCGTTTTATGACGTCCTTCGTTGTTTTGGCACAATATTTGAATACTCTTTAGTGCGACCTTGTACCGTCATACAGTAAAGTTAGCGCTAGTAGATTAAATTCACTGCATCGGTGAAGCATCCTTGACGATGTCGCAAGACATCTTCGAGGAGATATTTCGAGATATTCCACTACCTGTTTCAAAAATGTCTTTCAAGCAATGAACCCAGTATCTAAAATATATAAACATTTCGTGTGTGTATATATTATTTAATTTATCATTTTAAATAAATTCCTTTGGCAGGTGTGGGACTCCAACTCGCATTAAACATGGCACAGGACAGCCCCACTCCGAAACCTGCGGACCAATTCAAGTGCGTTTCTCCATTTTTTAAATTTTGCACAATAGAGATATTTTTATTTTCACAAGATAACTGCTTCAAAAATATTTCATCTGAATATTTCATTTTAAATAAAAGTCAAAGTTACTGAAAAATAAAGTAATACAGTGTCATAAAAGAGTTCTTATTTTTCAGACTTATACCGAAAATCATAAATGGCGGCATTGCCGGAATCATCGGGGTGTCCGTGGTGTTCCCTCTCGACTTGGTTAAAACGAGATTACAAAATCAAATTATCGGTCCACAAGGCGAACGGATGTATAATTCAATGTAAGTACACATCACGAAACACGTTGTAAGTTAAGAGAATATTAATTCATTATTAAGAAAACCTAATTGTACCAAAAGAATCGATAAGAAAAGGAACATATTGCGAAGAACGTTGAAACAAACAGATCTTCTCTAATTGAGTATGGATGATCCTTTTTCAGGTTCGACTGTTTTAAAAAGACTTACAGAGCTGAAGGCTACTTCGGAATGTACAAGGGATCCGCTGTTAACATATTGTTGATTACTCCCGAGAAGGCAATCAAACTTACTGCCAATGATACATTTAGACATTATCTCTCACCTGGGCCTGGGTATGTCTCTCGTATTTTTTTATAACATATGTATTTCATATCGTGTGTCAGGTATGAGCTTGCGTCCACTACATGTACAAAATACTAACCAGAATAATAAGAACTAATCCGTGAGAGGTGGCTGGGAGCTTTTCAACGAGGATCAAGGCTCGTTTGTTTCATTGTGAAATAGGAGAGCCATTATGAAACGGTTTATAGTATTTTTTAAAAACGCGACTTTTCAATTGTGATTACCTATCTGTTATGGATCTCTCCCCAAATAGGTCATCGCTATTGTGTCATGCTATTGTGTCACTAGGAAAACAAAATAAACGGTAGCAATATTTCCCAATTATAATATAAAACATTCGTTTTATATTAAACAATTTTACACTTATTGAAATCAACTTTCCACTTATTCACGAAATATTGGAATATTTGTGATTATTTTGTATATCCATAATAATACTGGCTATAAAAGCAAATAATGCCGATCAGAAATTTTTCCGCGATGTTTCATAATAGATTCTCAGGGCTAAGACATTCCTGTTTAAGGAACGTCTGTCGATAGAACAAAAATTTACGTTTTTATTGATATGTTTCATAAGTGTTTTATTGATATTGATTTCATAAGTGTGCATTTCAATTGCTCTTGTTGCTTCTTGTAATATCTCACCACCGCTGCCGGATTAAATTTCCGATACAAATCGACTTACATATCGTACTTCTCCGCTCGATTGTTACGTTATTCATGTCACAATTTTCATTATTTCCATAGTTAGTCCGTAATGATTGTGAGATAATGTCCATATTAACAACTTTCTCTCTTACATTTTATAGATTTAATTTTCATGTATTTCTGTAGTATGCAGTATTTCTCAATAATATTATTGCGCTCTTCAAGTAATCTATCTCTTGTTATTTTTCTTGCGAGCTGCCGTTTGCCACTCGGTTATTATACTTTCTATCATGGTTTTACTTTAAAACTATAATTTTCCACAGCCACATCGTTCTCACGTAAAATGTTTGCGAATTTTAAAGGGGGTTATTCAAAGTTTATGGCAAGCGGATCAGCAAATATCAGCATGAAATACGCTTAGGGTGATAATGCCTTTATTGAACTTTTAACCATATAAACTTTATAAACGGAGCTTTCCAATTGACTATTCATGATACCGACAGATTTATAAAATTTGGCAGAAATTTATAGTCAGATTTCCTGTGATGTAAAAAATTTACTTTTGTCTTATTTATACTAAATTTTGGTTTAATTTTTATCTTATCAAGGTACTGTGTTTGGCGTGGAATAGACGCTTAACTTCTACTTTCTCGCATCAGAGATGTTACAAACCTAATCGACTCTGTCATATTTATTCGGTTAATTAAATACTCCAGGCGCATGCTCTTGTTTTTAATTAACGAACGAATATAAACTCTACGAAACCTTAACAAGTAAAAGTCACTTTCACGAATGATAAAACAAGAAGCCAAAGAGTATCGATTGGGCCAAGCTGTATGAATAATAAACGATAGAGGCAAGACATGAAGTTTTGCCTCGATCTAATAAAGTAGCTTTCTGAAAGTAAAATAAGTTTTATTTATAAAAAAAGAACGAGTTTAGCATGTCAAATAATACAACAGTATAGTCACGGTCTTGTTTAAAAAATGTAATTGGAAAGCCCCGAAAACTAATAATGCATTGCTACAATATAGTTTGATCAGCAGAGCATCATATTTGTTTTCAGACCATCCTGTAGTATTCGAACCTGCCTATGTTTCTAATAATTTTCTAAACCTTTGTCGTGCTGTAATAGTTTGTATTTAACATCGATATTGTCTTCCAAGTAAATCATACGAAAAGTATTTATATGTTTGTATATTATATTAAAACATGATCAATAATGAGAGATTTTTATTTCCTAATGCGGTTGCGAGTCCAATAAATTTTATGATAAAATTTGTCCGTCATCTGAATATACGCGAAATTATTTTTAAATATATAAGATATTTAATTTCTTCACGTTGAATTTTAGTACGGGTAAATTGCGTTCTCTGACATATCTAGAGTCAATCTTTTTCCTAGTGGAAATTTGCAAAGACGTCAGGGCTCGCGCTATTATTCTAGATTTCCTTTTCCACTCTAGGAAGCGCATTGAAATTTATCGTTCTATAATTCTATAATTCTAGACAAAACTGAAGCTACCAGTTTCAATATTGTTTCCGAGTTAAATGACCTGAGAAAAGGTGCGAGCAACCATAACTAGCTAACCGAGTCGCAAGCAATCGAGGAAAGCAGGGTAATTTTTGCTTTTCCCTTTTCTCCCTTACAGGACACTTTGCAGAACAATGAAAGAGTGACACACGTGCATACACACATACATACAATCAGAAGCGCTCTATCGTTTATTTTATATGAATATGTTTCCTGATATATATATAATAAGCAACTTTGATGACTAATGATTGCTCATATTACGTTATACAATTTGAATTATAAGTCATTCGCCAAGTATAAAATTAACAGTCAGCAGTTTGCTTCATTTACGTTCATTGCCAATGTGTTTTTGATGCTCTGCGGTCCACCAAGTGCTTGACACATCACTGCTTATCGCGTAATTATGCCACCAGCGTTGAATGATCTCCCTTATATTAGGGCTGGCACTTTCTGCCGATTATCCCGAACAGCCGGATGTCTCAATTACGGTTTTTCGGAGATCGATTAGTTGTGCCGGTCCTACGTCGCATACGCGCAATTGAGATTTTCACATCGACGCGGCGTGATATCCGTACTCTGTTGATCTGTTGTCCAGACAAAAATTGCCATTAGTACGTGAAATGCTCGCCGGTGGCTTGGCGGGAGCATGCCAAATTATCGTAACCACACCGATGGAGCTACTCAAAATACAAATGCAAGACGCTGGCAGAGTTGCCATGGCAGCTAAAGAAGGTGATGGAGTAGTTCTATACTTTTAAGGACATTTTCCGCAACTAGTGTCGAGTAGAACGATTTTGCTCGCCACTGCGTTCGCGACTTCTGTTATTGCAACCTCAATTATTAGTGTCGCCCGTGATTTTGTAATCTCGCAGCAATAGTCATGCCGCATGAATGTCTCGGAAAGTATCATGATTTTTGCAATGCTAATGAATCGTCATAGTCGTTTTCTACAATGTTAATGGTCGCCACAACATTTGCAAGATCTGGTTCTGCATTCGAACGTGGCATCGGAATAGATATAACGCGCATTGAAACGCCTTTACATACTATAAAATCAAATGAATATTATTACGCAACTGTTTGAATTCAAGTGACAAAAAGTGACGGTAGTAGTGTAAATTGGTAAAGTAATAATTAATGTAGTTCGCGCGCGCGATATATACAAGGCCCACAAAAGCATGGGGTATGTGAAATCACGTCCCCGTTCTTGAGACGCTTCGCTTTACGGTGTAGAATAAGTTGCGTAATGTCTTTCTGTTACAGCGGGTAAGGCTATACCAAAAGTATCAGCTTGGTCGTTAACGTTGGATCTACTTAGGAAAAGAGGTGTATTGGGACTGTACCAAGGAACTGGTGCAACAGCACTCAGAGACGTGACGTTTTCCGTTATTTATTTCCCTCTATTTGCCAGGCTGAATGATATCGGCCCGAAGCGAGAGGATGGATCAGGTAAGACAGATTATCTTTAGATAATCTCTTCTCGTGATAAATATGCGCGGAATAATCCACACTGTTGTTTGCAACAGTAAAGTTGAAGTACTTTTCCATCTATAACTCGAATCATAACTCGACAAGTTAAGTTTGAAAGAAAGAAAATTCTTCTTATGATATTATTCTTTTATTCTGCGCCTATAGACTGGAAGCATTAACGTATAATTAATCATCCTACATATATACACACATACGTCTATAGATCTCTCTTCTCAAGTGTTCTTTTATGTTACACAACACATAGAACTTCAAATAGAATTCTACCTTGAATTCTGTCACGAATTTGAATAAATTATCCAAAGTGGTCTTAAGTAATTGATCAGCTGAAAATAATTCAGTTAACCATAATTGTAATGTTTTCTATTAGCTGTGTTCTGGTGTTCATTCCTTGCCGGGTGTGCCGCCGGCTCAACGGCAGCATTGATGGTGAATCCATTCGACGTAATCAAAACGAGACTGCAAGTTATCAAAAAAGCACCTGGTGAGCCGACGTACAACGGAGTATTAGACTGCATAACGTGAGTCATCGTGATCGAGTGGTGTATGAGGAAACACAAAAATGTTGCCGAAAGAAAATAATTACTCCCAATTTTTGCAGAAAAACATTCACGAATGAAGGTCCAAGAGCATTCTTCAAAGGCGGCGCTTGCCGTATGATTGTAATAGCACCGTTGTTTGGTATTGCACAAACTGTTTATTATCTCGGCGTAGCCGAATGGCTGCTGGGATTGAAGAAATGAAATCGCCATATCGCCGACTCGTGCCGTTCAAATACTCTGGGAAAATATTGACAATAATCGTTGTAGATGTAGTTGTATTTCGGCTTGAGATTTCCGTCGCCGAGATAAAAATGTTGTTAGACGGAGCCTTGTTCGCTTGTTCTATACGAAAAAAAAAAGAATTGAAAATGAGAGTGCGTTCGTGAAAATTGCCGTAATTCTCGTAGGTTGCGGGTTACATCGGATTCATAGTTTAATAAGATAAAATTCCTATCTTTCATGTCCTTACTTGCGCGCGTGGATTATAAAGTAAATATAACTTACTATCGAAGTATCACGAAGTCAATGTACATTGTGTTCTTGCAGTGTGAAATTGCAACTAATGCGTCAATAGATTTGTCGAAAAATGGAAAGTCGCTATTTAATCGGTATTTATGTCGTTGCATTTTTCGATGTAATAGTGGCTTCACATCTTCCTCGTATTTTGCGAACTGTGTATACTATGCGAGATCCTGTGTCCACGAACTGTATCTATCGATAGAACTGTAAGTTTATTGGGATCCTCGTTGTTGCATCCACCAGACTAGCCAGTCAATTATAAATATATATATATTAAAACAGATTTACCGTGATATTTTTTTAAACAGTGTAGAAAGAAAGGATATTTTATTAATAGTATAGAACATTTTGTTAAGGTTTCAACGAAAAACTTATCGTATACTTACCGTATACTTGTTAATTATTCTTTTTAAGTTTTCTCTTGTTACATAGACACGAGGGTGTAGTCTTTATGGCCATATGTAACATAACAGAAATATTACAAAGTATTTGAAGCAAATACTATACAGCTCTTCCTTCTACTGTTTACTTTATTCAATCCCACCTGCTTTTCTTTCTTTATTTTATTCTACACATCTCATCAATTATATAGAAATTATTTAATATTAATTATGAGTATGCGCGGAGTAATAATTTCTGTGACTTCGCGACTAGCAAAATCCAATTGTTTGCATCTCATTTATTACATTCGTCCCAATTGGGAAAAATTTAAGGAATAATGGCGGAACTCTTGTACGTTTTCAGAATTAAATATAGTGAGAAGTAAAATATCAAAAGGAGTAGTGCAAAAACAAATATCAATTAATATAAGCGCTTTAAATATTCATTAATTAATTATACAGAAATTATATGAATATACAATATTTTACTCGATCACTTAGTTTCTTCGTCGTTTGTCATTCATTTTCTTGCACAAAAAAGAAAAACTGCGCTAGACCCGGATATTTTTCTAGTCACGTTTTACTTTTTGTTACCTTTTTTTTTAATTATTTATATAAAGTTGGTACAACAACTCTAATAATCTCGCTAAGATAACGCGAAATCATATTTCGCATATATTTAGATTTAATACTTGAACGCATTAATAATAAACAAATTTTGTTTTTTATTACTAGTTATGTTCGCACAATATCAGTTACATAATATAACGTAATCCAACCCGCATTTCGTTAACAGCAGTATAATCTGTTTACGCTTTAACTGTGATATAAAAAGATTATCAGCACATATAATGGCGAAGTTCTAATAGTTACGAGAGACGCACGTTATTACAGTTAATATAAGCTCTTTATGAAACTTCGACTTTATGCTAACGATACCTAAACGTGGAAAAGTCATTTGGTTTATAATAATAATGATGCGCGATACGGCCTATATAATAAATAACCATAAAGCCTGGCTCGGCTGGAAAGGGCATTAACCTCCCAAAAAAAAAATATATATATATCCGAGAAATCTATCATCCTCAAATCACATGTACCTTAATAACGAATACATTATATTCTACGAATCTTAAGTATCTTTCCTTTCATCGCTTACTTAAAAAAAATATCATAGTACATTCATAAATGACACTTGTGAACTTTCAAATTTTTCTTCGTGTATCACTAAAAAAATTTACAATTTTTTAAATATATTCACGATGATATAACATTTATTTATATACGTTAATGTTTAGCAATATATTTCTGAATTTTCGCAATATATTTATAATTTTCTAATATTTTCGTAAGATTTCCATTTTTCATCTTAATAGTTTCGGTAAAAAATTGTCAAAAAAAATATAACTTATGATGGCTCATAGAATTGTAGCAAGATGTAAATCTCTACTTCGCGTGTGAACAACGAATTATTGTTATGTTTATACATTACACTTGGCAATATATTTCCTTAAAAATCTTTTGATATCTTTTCTTTAATCCTTTGTATCCGTGTCGAATACACATAAATCACACGTACAATTTGCGTGTCTTCGTATCATCATGTATACGTACAAAAGAAATCGATTGTAATTGAGAAATCGCGAATGACAGTCTTTAGGGTACGCTGCTCTAATATATACGTTTGTTTTGATAACAAATTATCAAGTACGTCACGATATAAGCTAAATCTGCTCTTTGTGCTTAGAATATCTAATTAGCTAATTATTGTGTTTGTAAAATTGCAGAAACGTCTCACTTATATTATTGGCATCTCAGGATCCCTATGTATGAGTCGAAAGACAAATTTCTCCGTATCTCTATCCATATTTCGACAATACATCTCGCAATATCATAATTGCAATCATAATCACCCATAGTCTATTATCTATGTCCTACAAAATTGCACGATTCACTTTACCGCGCTCCGAGAAATTGATTAATTCGTCCTAGTAATAATAAGTCTTGCATCAGGATACACGTTAACTGCAACATACAATAATATTCTCATGAATTGCAATCATACCAGATCGAGAAGGAGATTGACATGCATTGCATAGATTCAACCTATTGTGCTCTACAAGAAAAAAAGACCCACAATATATTTACTTTTCAGTACAACTCTTATATATCGCGATAGTGTAACACACAAAGGGATGGGGATCTTCTCAAAACCTTAAGAAAAGATTAATCAGATTCCGCTGAACCCTCTGCGTTTCTTTCAGCGAATTTGCCCACCTGCGCTCACCTTATATTGTAATTATGAACCGGCTTTCGATAGAGCTCGAAAGCACTCCCTCTTTGCTCCCGACTGCCAGCGAGGTCCAGGCCGCTGGGTTCCCTGTTGTGTCCGGGATTAACGGAGGGGTAGATCGGGCCTGCCGGCCCGTGATTGTTACCGTGCATATACCCATTGTGATTTGTGCTGCTGCGATTGTGCGTCAGACCGAGATTGATCTGACCCGCGCTGTTGCTGTGGGAATGCGTGGTGGTGACAGGTGGGCTGGAGTGCGAATGCGTGTGACTGAGGCTGTGACTGTGTGTCGGCGGCGCGAGATGACTTAGATTGTGGTGCGAATTCACGAGATTGCTCTCATTGTGACGGCCGGGCGGCGGAATGTTGTAGTAATACTGGCCGCTGTTGCGTTGAACGTTGTTGCTACTGTCTACCTGAACGAAGAGAAAGATCCATGTGATGCGTTATATATATCCGCAGTACCATCGTGCGCGAATCTTACGAGAGGAATGGTCGCGTCTCGCAATTAGTGATTTTCATTTTGTAGATGTGTACCTCGTTTCTCATCTTAATTCTTCTGTATTCCCGTGTAATTATCGATTTCATTAGTTCTATTTATGACTCAACAAAATACTTAAGCATACTTCAAGTTGTAACATTCGAGGTTTGTAACCGATCGCAGTGATAACGATGACAAGAATCGCACAATTCATCGATCTCGAATAATTTCGTGCTTATTAAATAATTACCCCATTGTGCACGTGAGACGTGGCGATGGAATAGCTCTTCGAGTGCTGATACGAATTATTCCCATCGTTACTGCTGTTATCTGTCTGCGCGAGCGTTGTTTGCGGTGGTCTGTAATTTTTCGGCTTCGGTGGCGGAATCGGCTTGTAAGTACCTCCCGGTTTGTTTTGTGGAATCGGTATCGACTTGTAATCGGTAGATCGACTGTAACACAAAAAATGACGATGAAGAAATGAGATCTCTTTTATTCAGTACTTCAATTTGTCATCATCAACGACGTACATACCTGTACTTGGCATAATCAGTCCGCGTTTGAGCATCATGCGTAGGGATCGGCTGAGCCGTAGACCTGGTGAATCGATACGGATCGTGCGCTCTCGCTGGCATGCTACTGCTCTTGAGATCATCGGGTACGTTCGGGCCCAAGCGACCCGTCGATGTGTTGAGATTCGGCGCGCCGTAGCTCGCGTTCCCATTCGTATTGTTGTACGAATCGTAGGAAGACATGCTGTCGTAACTCCCCTGCATATGCAAGAATAAATGTGATCTTACGATCAAATGATTTCTCTTACAAATTATCCAAAGGCCGATTAATCAACTTCACTGTTTCTTCTGAGTGATACAAATTTCTATAAATTACCACCAAATTATCATTTTACCGGAGAATTTTGTGTGTGAGATAATTAGACTAAATATATAACTCTTGAAATAATAAGTAGAAATAATAGATATATATATATATATATATATATATATATATATATATATATA